ATCTTTTGCTCTGCCAGGGTCCACCTACTTGACAATGAACAAAGACCGCTTCTCATATAGCATCACGCTTACAAACATAAAGGTGCCTGTATCTCCAAACTTTACAATCAAACATGGAGGCTTTAAGAGAACAAAGTTACTCGGCTGGGTGAGAAGCATATACTGCCCAAGTCTCATGTTCATCTTGGCCAACCCCAGATTCACCTAATGTCGCCACCAGCCAAATTGAGTCGGGTCGACCTCTTGAATTTTTTTCGTCGAGGAGGAAAAATATTTTTTGGTTGGCAGCGACATTAGGTGAATCTGGGAATGGCCACGATGAACTTCGTACTTTGACACGAGATCGCTTTGACCCTGCCGAGCAACATTGTCCTCATAAAGACCCCACGTTTGATTGTAAAGTTTAGAGATACAGGCACCTTTAGATTTCACATATGATGTACAAGTGATGCGATATGAAAAGTGGTCTTTGTTCATTATCAATTAGCTAGACCCTGACAGAGCCAAAGAGGCACAGGGACCTCTTTGTGTAACTCAGCACTTTCGCATGACTGGAAGGATCAATGGATGATACTGCATTGGCTAATCCGTAACACTCATCATTGGCAGCTGATAGCCAATTCCTTCCAATCGGCATTGTTGACCATTGTATGACATGTGAACAATGCTCCTGCTCCAGGCATTCATTTCCATTATTCAACTTTCTTGATCCGAGCTGATTTGACTGAACAACGCTCATACACAGAAGTATCATCCAAAATTATAGATTGATTATATGCAAACTGCTACTTGATAGCCCATTCCTCCCATTCAGCTTTTTTACCCAACCCAATGCATGTGAACGATTGTCCTGCTCCAGCACAACATGACCATCCTTCAACTTTCTTGGTCCGAGTGGATTTGACCGAGTTACGCTCAAGCACAGAAATATCATTCAACATCAGTTCAACCTATTTAATTTTCCACCTCTTCCTCTCACAGCTTCTTGTCTCTTCCTCCCATTCTCAACTGTTGGTCCATTCAAGTATACAACTACAACCGGCGAACGATTGTGCTGCTTCAACCCATCATGTCAATCCTACAATTGTCTTGATCCGATTGCCTTTGACTGAATGGCAAATCCATGGTGTGTGCATAGCCTTCTTGTCACTCTACTACAGCACGTGCCTTCCTTGATACAACACGCGCTCTTGCACGCTCCTCTGCCACAACCAAAGGAAGCATCGTTCATTCCAGCAGTTGCCAGTAGTGTTGCCTTTACTCCATTATCCTCAACAGCGTTCTTTACTTGCAGCAACTTGCCTGACAGGCCTTGTCACGTGTATCAGCAGATAGCCATTGTATAGAAGCAGCTTTATTTACGTGCAGCAACTTGCGTCAATACATACGATTCTTATGGATATGGATATGGGTATTGTTTTGGTATATGGAATGGAAGGATTCGGATACATACAAGGTGTGGAAAGAGTGCCCTGTTCTTATGCATCCATTGTCAGCTTCATCTTGATGCTATCATCCTGAACGATTGATGCATCCAATTATCAACCCTGGCAGGCTATCGCCATAGCAGCTACTATCATCATCCTTTCTTCAACTTGTCGACCAAGCACAACCATCACGACTGAACTCCATGTTTTGACAAGCTATGCATATAATTCGTTACAACGCATCAAGTGCCACCTCACGTCCACCCATCCATCTTTGCACCATACACACCCAAAGGATAGGACTTCCCCAAATCGATGTAACACCTCCATCAGAGCAATTCATTGTACCTCTCAATCTATTTCTTGTGAACGAATTGCATTAAAGGGTTACATACTTTAGTGAATACGAGATTGTGTTGGTCAACTATGTCGAAACTTGTATAGTGGAATAGATCTTTCCTCCTTTCTAAGTTGGACCTCGTCATGCGTGGCACTCGATGGATTGTATTATGGGATGCCTTATAGTATGGAAAATGCAGGTTCTATCCACTTGTAGATGCAACGATAAAGGAAAGAAAGGAAGAGGAAAAGTCTGGTCGATTCATTGGATCTTGAACAAAGGCTGTATTCATAACACAGTTCACCTCCTTTTTTTCGTGATTAGACAGGACTTTGGACATCGAATACCCTCATCCAAAGTACTTGACATTCCTTTTGTATCAAAGCGAAAGCGTCTCTTCTTGCATACACATATGCAATAAACCCCCATTTACAATATTGTATTGAATTTCTTTCCCATGTTTGTAGTCGTCAGCGAGAGAAAAGAAGAGCATTCAGCATTGATCCTCCCCCCACCCGAGAGTATTATGAAACGGGATACCACCTTCCCTAATGTGTGCTTCCTATCAGCTTGCTCAGCACCCAAATACATATTTTAGTTCGTGGTCAATGTTGTTGTCATTTTACTTAATGGAGTACCACAACGGCTGTAATACATAATATGGTTATCCAAATCGACTTTCGAAAATAAAAAGTTGGATGCATCATGTGGTCAGTTAGAAGTGGTGATGTTATCCCTGAATATGACATGTGCTACTAACATGAAACCCAAACAAGTGACTTACACTCTGCAAAGTCATCCTCGGATATGATTCAATTTTATCACCGTGCAACCCGAATCTCCTCCATCCATGCCAAGTATGACCATTGTGCAACGATGCGTGAACCCATCTCCTATTCTTTGGGAATTTCTATTTAAGGTAAGTGATATGTGATAAGCTGCACGTTTGACGGCCTAATGCATGTGTGGCAGAACGCCATTATCCGTGCTCGTATATTTTTCCCGCACAACATATGCTGCTACGTCTCCCATAGACATGCATCATCAGGAGCAACAAACAAAAAAGAAGCCAGCGAGAAAACATGATGACTGTCACATCCAGGATCATCATCATTATCACACACCCATTATCATGGTCCTCTCTGTATCATTTTACTAAAATCCCCTGACATGAAAGCACACAGCCGGTCGTAACCCCCTTTTTTCTATTGCAAGTTTAATAACCGGTCTTAATATTGGAAGTTAATGAGATCATGCAACCGTTTGTGTAACTCAAGTCGTGACATGAGGACCCAAACGTTTTGGTAGTGGGAGGTGGTAAAGTAGAACTATGATGCTGCTGCGCCTTATCGGTCCACTGTAAAAAAATGAAGCAATGATAAAGTTTCTTGTCCTTTGGGTGACACGTACAAAGCATCTATTAGATACACAGGTCGTGCCCCACACACAATTTCCCTTTCCTATTTATTTGACTGACTCAAAATTAGATTCATGCATCGTGACAACTTAATCTTAGGATGTCGGCACAATAAACAGATCCACATGAATACTCCCATTGCCATGTAAGCAGAAAGCTAAAGAGAGAGATGTTCGCTTGTGCTTCCAAATGACCATGTTTCATCTTCATAGGGATTCAAATTGATGTACGCGCTCAACGGTCCTCCGCTTGTTGTTGACATACCATGTGCAAGAGGTATACCTCGATAACGACTTGAATTCACTGGGAGCAAGTGTTAGAAAGGAGGAATCATCTTCGAGGATTTTCTCACGACGTCATGGGATATTAAAGTATCCCATTGTACCAAAGCAAATCAGCAACAACAACGATGAAAAGATACCTCCTTGCTGAGCTAAGAGAAGAGGAGAGAGAGAAAGAGTATGTGTAAGAGGATGGGACGGCCAAAGAACAAGAATTCCAAAAAAGGGCAGGGAGACTCTTTAGTCGAGACAGTGTCAACACATTGTGCGAGGGAGAGAGCTACGAAGGCTGTTTTACATCAGCATCATTGTCGGATTTTCCATACATTTGTTCATTTTCCTTGTCACTCCTGCCGACAACAATCAAGTCAAACGCCAGACACACTCTCATATTTAGCAATCTCGACCTTCGGATACGTTCGCCGAGCACTCCAAATGATATCAATTTATATGCAATGCTATAAATGTCTACGCCACCAGTTATTGATCGCCACTATAAGCGCATTGGTGGAGACGGCATGTAATGGGATGTCTTGTTGATTTCTTTGTATTATCCCTCCTTGTCTACCGTTCCCTTGGTTATACGTTTATTTTGATAATAGGACATGCCCTTTCTCTATCTCTCTCTCTCTATACACCAACATGGATATTCTTTCATACAACACGCTCTTTTTATTGCTCCTCCTCGTATCACTCCCGTGTTCCTCCTGATGAACGCTTTATTTGCTAGTGGTAAAAGTCAACTTTACATGACGTAATTACATCGTACCTTGACAGCTGCACATGATAGCAATCATTCAGACTCGGATTGCCTATAAAATTTGGTTTGGCCATTCTATTGCTATTTACCGGTTGTAGAGACAACAATGCGCTTATGTGATGGTTCCCGATCCGCCGCGTTAACCCCAGACTTTAACGCATCATTATGCCGGGGCGATCATGATTGATGAGCCCACATTACCCCTTTTCCCCCTCTCCTCCTTTTTTTTCCAGTGGCCAAAAAATTCTCCTCCCTGATATGGGTACAACTCTCTCACACATTGCATCAATCTCTCATCACATTAAACTTCCCCTTTGTATCTTCCTTTGGCTTTCTTCTAGGTCTTCCCCCCTGAAAACTTCAAGTGTCATTCCCCTTTCTTTCGCTGTTTAATGGCATCATTGTTCAAAGCAATACAGGAGACAAAGATGTAAGAAAGAATGAGGACGATAATGGCCCATTTCATAGTACAAAGAAAGAGCTCTTTCAAACGCGTTTGGTTCATTGTAATGACATTAAGAGTGATTAGAGCCCTATCGCTGGAAGCGGAAAGAAAAGGAAATGTAATCAGGATGATCCGCCCCATCCGATCAGAGAGCGAGAGAAAGAGAGTGCCTTGTTGACAGTGGTCACATCACATACATCCCCTTGATCCTCCTTCATAAAATGTGCACACACATTGGATGCGTATTAACTATAAATGTATTCGCACCTGCTTCTTTACTTCCTCATCCGTGTGATCAAAGTAGCATTGTGCTTTCCGTAGCAATGACACACGCCTCCTTACTGTATAAATACACATTGGTTGCCATGGTTTCTAAAGGATGACTCCGATCCTTCCTTGACTTGTGTGTGTATCTCTCGTTCATTATTCCTATCCCCTTGCCCCATAGAAGCCTTTTTTTAGCTTGCAGAAAAAGAAAGAGGCACACTTGACAACGACGACAAGAACAAATCACCCTGCATCTCCTCAGTTACGTTCGTCAAACTTCCAACATAAGGATTACTTTTGACACCCTACTATAGCATCATATATAAAGCTGTACCTTTTGCTGATCATCCTTTCATCCCTCGCTTCCCCACCCCATCCGCCTCCGAGCTACATTTTGTCTCTTTTTTTCTCTCTCTTTTATTACCCATTGTAATCCACACACACACACACAAGAAAGCTGGTTCTCTCTTTCTCTTACTCCTCTCGAAAGGTATTTAATCAAGCACCCTTTATGTGCACGATCAAACTGTATTCACACATCGGTCACGGTTGTAGTAAAAATATGATCCTTGCACACCAACAACAGCAACAAGTATCCCGCAATAGTACCAACACCCACCCTTCCACCTCGCCACCTACATCTGCTTTACAACGCACAACCATCAACGAGTAAGTGGTTTTTAACGCATATTTTGATCATCCGTAAAGAATCGTATTCATTGTCGATGCCAATTAGAAACGACGCTGCCCTTATGATCCAGCCTTATTCCCAACAACCTCTTACCAACATTTCACCTGATTATTACTTTACTCCACCACCACCAACAACAACAACACCATTTGATCCCACTATCCTGATGAATGATTTTTCACGATCTCACCAACATCAAAGAGCAGCTTCGTCCACTTATCCACATACTGCTGCCAGCAGTACGGATCGTTTCTTATCACCTACGCTTCAACCCATTTACAACAACAACAACAACCCTACGATGCGTTGTTCAGCTGCCACAGCAGCAGCAGCAAGCACTTGTTCTTCTCAATCGGTATCATCTCCTTTTGCTTTTGACACTGCTCATTCTTCCGTACTTGCTCCACAACCACAACCCACCCATATGCCATCGATACCATTTGCTGATGAAATTGCTACACAAAGGTAAATTAGGAGAGTGTGTGCGTGTGTGTCTTGTAGATCATCATCATACTCATTGTGTGTTTAGCAAGCATTTAAGATTCCACGTGGTACTCCAAGGTAAAGTAGTAAAATTGACAGGTCTAAAGGTAGTCATTGTGATATTAACCCTCTCTACAGCTGCCACAGCCATTACGCAAAAGAGCGAAGAAACAAGCATCACCTACATGAACCGAGGTCAATCGTATGCGATCCAGCTCAATGATAGGCATAAGCATGATGGTCCCATCACCAGCACCGTGGCCATCACTTTTCATGATCCATCCCATCGTCGAGTGGCCAATAATTATTGGAAGTTTTGGCTCAGTCAACAAAAGACGCCCCAAGCTGCACGTGCCATTGATATCGGTAAAATAGAGATCACATGATTTGCAAGGTTCATTATGTGCTCATTCTTTCTCTTTTTATAACACAGACAATGCGCAATCCACAGGGATCAGCAATATTCAGTACCCAGGATTTGATCGTATCAGCTTTGAGTGGAATGGTGCTTGTGGTGCTCGTATCCATGTTCGATTCAATTGTTTGTCCACCGACTTTTCTCGTATCAAAGGTGTTAAGGGGATTCCTCTTCGTGCACAAATGGAGAGCCGTGCATTACCATCATCATCCGCCTCATCTCCCGCTTCCCTCGAACAACAACAACAACAACAACAACAACCATCGTCATGGGAATACAATGAATCGTCTTTTTGTAAAATCAAGCTCTTTCGAGATAAGGTAATAAGCGATCGTTTTATTATAGAACAACATGTTATTAAACTAACTACTATTAGGGTGCTGAGCGAAAGAACAAGGATGACATTAAGCAAGCCGGCAAGCAATTTGAAAAGATGCGAGGTAGGTTAAAGCAACACGGCCCACTATAAGCTGCTATCCACTCACATACACTTACATGGTATATAGAAACGGCAGGAGACGATCTAGGTCGACACCCAATGTGGCTCATGTACAACCAACCCATGCCATACAGTGTCTTTACCGAAACACCCACATCGCCTGTGCTTGAACACCACCCACCGACATCGTTTGATTTCCACTTCAACAGCAAGCATGCACGCACCATTACAGCGCCATCGATCCTGCCTTCGTACCATTACCATTTGGACACGTGGTTCCAGTCTTCGTCTCCAGTGACGGCAGCAGCAGATACGCCCTTGACAGCCACAGCCACAGGACCTGTCAATGCATTGATAGATATGGGTGGGAAGCGTTGGAGTGAAACCGATGATGGATACTTTACAGCCAAAACACCTGACTACAGCACAACCACGCCTGGATCAATCAATAGCAACGGCAGTGTAACACTACCATCCAGCAACACCAACCACAATGACGATCTTATGACACGGCCATTTATGGTAACCCCGGCACTCAGCTTTATGAGCACACCTTCTCCGGTAACCCCTTCAGGTATCACAGCAACAGCACCAAGCACCAAACGCCCTCTTCCACAAGATGACACTACCACTAGTAACAACAACAACAACAACAAAAGACGTAATGTAGAAGGTAAGAAAGATGATTAACTTTTTGTATGTTGTCCTTGTGGCTGACGCGTTTGAATTTAGCCCTTTGTTTGTATATTCAAGTAGCTGCAACCCAGCAACGTATACCCAATGCTGAACCCAAACGCCTTCAACTTGAGAAACCCACTGTCGATGATCTCAAACACAAATTATGCACGCTCCTCTCACTCCATCCAAATCAAGTGGCGGACGTTATTTGGCGGCGTAAGGATGATACACCAACACCACCAACAACAACCACTGCTGCTGCTGCTGCTGCCATTGTCCCAACATCACAACAACCATCCACCCATCACACCAAACGAGCCAATAACAGCAACAATAACGATGTCTTGATTCTGGTGGATGATTCAGTCGTGGCACAGCATTTATTGGACAATGCCATGGTTACCGTATCATGGGAAATTAAGGCAGATGGCATGGTCCGACTTGTTTTGGAACACTAGCACATGAAAAAAGCCGCCGATTACCATATTTTGACATAGCAGCCTTACACATCTATTATGCTACTTTTATGCATCCTTTGTTTTCTACTCTTTACACAAAACATTTATCCTCTCTTCTTTTTTGTTTAATGCCATACCAACAACAGCAGCAGCAGCATAATAGCAGCCCATGCATGCCACACATTTGATATTTGTATGTATGCCCTACTCTCTCTCTCTCTCTTTCTCTCTCTTCCCTTTTGAGAAAAACCTTGCATCTTGCCCATTTATATCCTGTTTTCACTTACTGCTGTCAAATGCATCCTTATAAGGAAAAAAGTCACAGTGTGTTTCAATTCTCACTTTCAGGCGATTGTGTGGGGAGAGTAGCGGGATGACGATGGATTTTGCCCAGCATGTGATACGAAAGCATAGTGTGTCGCCCAAGCTTTTCTTGGTGTGGTGGGGTGGAATACCCCCACTCATACCACGTTGCTTGGATCTGTGATACCCGATCACCGATCTATATAAATTAAACCTCTTTTTTCCTTGTATTTTTTTCCTTGTATACATTTCTCTCTCTCTCTCTATACTACAATGTCTATCTCGCAACAAAGCAATCCTTTGGCTTACATTGGTGGTGCCGCAGTGGCTGGTGTCACTGCGCTTGCTGCCATTTATCACGATCGTGCTGTATTCGACGAAGTTCGTAAAGATGTTGTGACACAACCTGGCTGGCCTTTGGTTGGCAACCTTCCCATTCTACTTCAATGGAAGGATAAGCTACACGAATTTTTATTGGAAGGATTCACGTCATTGGATGAACAGACCTTGTAAGCACACACACACACATCCAACACACAGAGTTTGTACGACATCATCATGGCTGATCCATCTACGCGTATGTAGGACCATGTCGGCACTCGGAATTCCACGCCATATCGCTACCGTCGATCCACGTAATGTGGAACATCTCCTGAAGACCAACTTTGAAAACTACATCAAGGGACCTGAATTCCATGGTGCCATGAACGATCTTTTTGGTAACGGTATCTTTAATGCTAATGGTGAAGATTGGAAATATCAACGCAAGACGGCTTCTTTGATCTTCAATGTCAAGAACTTCCGTGATCAATTCACAGAGTAAGTCAACTCATTCATTCACACACATGTAACAAGAAAAAGGCTCATTGTATCATTATTATTAGTGTCTTTGTTCAAGAGATTGATTACATGAGTGAAACTATTTGGGATAAGGCTGCTGAAAACCACGAGTCGGTCGACTTCCATGATATCATGTTCAAGTTTACATTGGATTCTTTCATCTTGTAAGTGTGTGGGTGTTTGTATGTGTGTGCACGCGTATATACAAATTCACTGACAACCCCTTGTTGTAGGCTTGGCTTTGGTGTTCAACTCAATGCTCTTGGTTCCAAAGGCAAAGTTCCCTTCGCTGCCGCTTTCGATGAGGCACAAAAGAACACATTCCAACGCTTCGTCAATCCCATTTGGCCCATTACTGAACGCATTCAAAAGATGCTTGCTCCATGGCGCGATGGTATGAAGGATCACTTGCACGTGGTCGACAGCTTTGCACGTGAAGTCACCGAGAAACGACGTGAGGAGATGGCTGCCGGTGAAGTCAAGAAGGATCTTTTATCTCGATTCATGCAAGCACGTAATGCGAACGGCGAACCCCTCAACAACAATGAATTGCGTGACATTGTGCTCAACTTTGTGATTGCTGGTCGTGATACTACTGCACAAGCCTTGTCTTGGACCTTTTACATGCTCATGTGCCATCCTCGTGTCGAAGCCAAGCTCTTGGATGAGATCAATACCCATATTACTGATGATGTGATGCACGATTCTACCGCCTTGTTTGAAGCCATCAAGAACATGAAATACGCTCATGCTGTGTAAGTAGTAGCGAGATTCACATGACCTGACAACATGGATACTCATCATCATTACATCTATAGGTTTTATGAAGTGTTACGTCAATACCCATCCGTCCCTCTCAACCAAAAGTACGCCTTGAACGATGATGTTTGGCCCGATGGTACGCATATTCGTAAGGGTGACTACATTCTCTGGTCTCCTTGGTCACAAGGACGCAATGAAAAGGTTTGGGGTGCCGATGCCAAACAATTCCGACCTGAGCGCTGGATTACCCCTGAAGGCGATTTACGACGTGAGTCTCAAGGTCAATGGCCTGCTTTCCATGCTGGTCCTCGTACTTGTCTCGGTCAACATCTCGCTACTCTTGAAGCTCTTGTTGCTATCGTCTTCCTTCTCAAGCGTTACAAGTTCAGCCTTTTGCCCGGTCAAGATATCACTTATCAAATCTCATTGACTCTTCCCATGAAGGATGGCATGAAGGTTTCTGTTGAGAAGCGTTAATTTTTCTCTCTCTCCCTCCCTCTTTCACAATCCTCCCTCTCCTATCTTACAAATAATCCCTTTATCTGTATATCTCGTCTTTATCCTCACACACCTACACACCTACACAATGTATATACACGATGATGTTGACTCTAGATCTTTTCACCAAATCACCGCTTTGGTAACCCAGCTGTGGAGCAGCTTATTCCATAATAAAATGATCACCCTAGTCAAAAACAGCATTTATTCTTATTTCAACGACTGATTGTTTGCTTGGAGATGTATGTAAACGGTTTCATCGCCAACGCGTGTTTATGCGAATGCAGGTTGGTGACCAAGGATTGTCGTTCGACCCATGACAACAAAGGGCAAGATGGCAGCGCCAAGGATAATCGCGAATACGAGAAAACCACCAGTGTAGACGACGTCCCTATCAGTCAAGTTGGTTGGATAACGTCGAGGACAGCAGACCCAGCACATTTGGAACAAAGCGAGTAGTAGTAGAATGGTGATGATACCACAATTTCTTTGTCTATTATATATAGGCTTGTGGGATGTGGTCAATGCATGATGAATGAACCCAAGGTATTCATTGTGGTCATTATGTATACCTTTCAACCACCATTGATGCTTATCAATGACGCTTGTGTGTGACATTTGTGTATGTGTAACCGGTGGAGCGGCATTATGCAAATCGGTACCAGGAACAAGAGCTCATTGTACCTTCCAAAATACAAAGACTCAAGCCATCTACAGAGCATTCATGGTTGGCGTTCCTTTTTTGCTTATGTAGCGTAGATGTTGCAATACAATGGGATCGTTGGAACGTGTGTGGTCAAGTTTTTCATTGGTCGTTCACGAAAAAAAAAAACATTACTTTCTTCTAAATCCCAATGACAAGAGAGCAAGATTTAGCAAATTTAGTCTCATTGTATGTTAAACTTCGATATTGGTACATGTTTCTGCAATCAAGAGTGAAATGAAGTGTGTAACAAAAGGGCTTTATCGAGAACGTTACACTAGAAAAGCAGACTATAGTACAAGTGGATGCAAGGTTGAGGGAATGTAATGCTCTAATATGTGCGTGTGAGGAAAAAGATGAAAGTATTCTATGATGAGGACGGTGGTGGCTGTTGTTGTTGTTGTTGTGAGGGAGGATGATCATCCTGAATATCAACCAACTCAGCATTTGTTGTCGCAGTGGTGGTGGTGCTGGAGGAAGATTCTGGCAAGTGTAATGAATCGCTTCGTCGATGTTGCCACAAGGGTGTATTACCGGATGGTGGTTTGGGTGATATTCTTTGCTTCATAGCATTCATCATTTTCCATTTCAACCCGGATGACTTTTTGTGATCCTTGCCTGTCACAGGTGCTGTATCATAACGTCGAAGATCGAATCCTTCCATTGGCATCCAATCACCATGGGCACCACCCTGCTCTTCAGCTGTTGTAGAAAGTGTGGCATTGGAAAGTCTTGAACGACGCAACAAGGCTGGATTGGTTGATAAACTTGCATGTCGGTACACCGATTGTCGAAATTTATCAAAGGGACGTTTATCATCGGACGAAAATGCAAAACCCATAAAAGAGGTACGAGTGCCAGAGCGCATGTTCATAATCTCGGTTCGTTGTGAAGCATTCGTATCAGTGCGTGTGAGAGGTGCTGCATCAGTCAACGCATAAGCATTTTCATCATCGTACAAGTCATCGTTTCGGAATGCTGTGGATGCTTCGCTTTGGGTGCGTTCCAAGGTGATAGGGATTTCTTCTTCAAGCTGCTTTTTGGAGGTGCGTCGACGACGGCTGAAACGGTTTTTGGAGGAAGAAGTCTTGCACAAGACCATCTCGCGGATGATATCATTATCAAAAGGCTTGTCCATGTGGAGACAATACTTTGTAGCATAGCGTGGCAACATGCAGATCACAAAAGTCACCGCCAAACATAACCAAAAGCCGCCTTCACGGAATAAAATGTCTTCGCCATAGAATGTAAATGTTTGTACCTTGGCGTAGATGGCCGTCCATATGAAAAAGGTGGCTGACGAAAGAGTAATAACCGCTACCATCACCCATGTCCAGCTGTAGATAGTGAATCCAACAAGGGCATTGGCAACCACCACAGCAATACCAGCGATAAACGTTCCGAGCTCGTATACACCTTCAGTGTCATAGCCATTGCTGCTCATTTTTCCATCAATGAAAAGCATGTAGGGAACACCAAAGCAGACCGCTGATTGATAAATGGCATCGACTACGGTCAAATAGAACCGGGAAACGTGAAACTTGTCATCGCGGATACCCATCAAATAAAGCTGTGGATACTTGAAGGAGTACTTTGATACGAGATCTTGATCCAAAACGCCTAAATAAATGGTCTGTGAGTACTTTTTTTCCTCTCTCCAGTAGTCTGCCTATGCGTTGCTTACCGGCAAAGATACATGGCAAGGATGTAAATACCAAATTATAAAGAGTAATATAAGAATAATCAAACATCATGGTGCCCGAAAATCTGTTTCATGTCCAATGTTACAAAAACGCTCAGTGATCATTCATAAGAAACTTACCCGCAGAATAGCTGATACCAAAACAAGACGAGCGTCCACATGATGTTTTTGTAAAAGAAGGTGAGGATCATTTCGGATGTGCGTAGATAAGACCAACGTCCGTGCACCAACAACAACTTGCTGAGATAACGAAATTGGGCAATGGCATAATCGGATGCCATCACAGCTTGCCGACCTTCTTCGCCTGAGATACCAACACCCACATTGGCTTCCTGGATCATGGAGACATCATTGGCACCATCACCAATCGACAACGTCATTACTTTGAGACCTTTCTTGACAAGATTCACCACCTTGGCCTTTTGCATAGGACTCACACGACAACAAATCACAGCCATGCATTGTGTGCCAAGCGCCAATAACTCTTGTTTGCAAGGTGGTTCCAAGGCATACTTTAGCGATTCACCATCAATGACAAGTGCGCATTTCTGATAAGACGATTTTTCTTGCACTTCGAGTTGTGAGCGCTGAAGTTGTTCCAGTGTCTCATGTTCATCGTGTGCATTGATACTGATCAGCAGCATATCCTTGCTCAATAAATTGCATGCAAATCCGATATTGATGGCTGTCTCAATCTTGTCTCCCGTAAGCACCCAAATCTTGATACCCGCTTGTGCCAATACACCGATCGTATCGGGAACACCTTCTTGAAGCTTGTCTTCAATAGCTGTGCCGCCAATAAGGGTCAACGACTGTTCAATCTCCTCGCACACCTTTTCAATCTCTTCATCACGATTTCTGATACTGCTAGCGGCTTGCTTATAACGTGCAGCCCATTGCTGATACTCGTCTTCTTGTAACATGCGACTTGCGATACACAAGGTTCGTAAACCTAAAGAAAAATAACCACCCATTCAATGTACATTCTCGATGTTAAGGATAAAAAACACGTACCTTCATTTGCAAAGATACCCAAATGGGCTGATGTCTCTTGTCGTACACGTTTTTGCTCTCTTCCTTCCTCGTCATCACCAAGGTCTTTGGAAAGCCGTTCATAGATCACTGAATCTGCTCCCTTGCATAGCAAGACAATACCGCCATCCGAAGATCGCATAATAACACTCATCCGTTTGCGTGTCGAATTAAACTCCAGAACATTGAGCAATGTAAAATGGCGTAATTCTCCCAATGCATCCATGATGACTGTATCAGATTCTCGAGCAACAAAAGTAAATCCAACATCTCGCGCTGTTGCCACAAGAGCAGCTTCATCGGGTGATTGTGCCTTGTATACAATGTCGTATGGGTTATCAGGATCCGGTAATTCGGTAATGACGGTGTGACAAAGGGCCAATGCGGAGAAAAAGTGAATCAAGCTCTGCGATTGAGTATTGTTGGCACCAAGGTGGTCGTATACTTTGGGATCCACAAAGCTGGATTTTGGATTGATGTACTTGTGATCGAACAATTGGGCTTGTTTCTGCAACATCTCTTGTCGTGATTTCTCCAATTCCATAGCATCCGCCAATGTCGTATCCACCATATTGGGGTTATCTCGTTTCTTTGCACCAATCGAAGCTTCGGTCTCTCCCAATCCATAGATCACCCCATTCACTGTGCATCGACGAAACTCCATAATGTTTTGCGTCAACGTCCCCGTCTTGTCTGAAAAAATGTATTCGATTTGTCCAAGGTCATCCGAGATGTTCCATGTTTTTGGAATGCATGGTTGATCCAGCCGCTCATTGTACATGTCAAGATCAGTATGGATAAAATAAGCCTAATTCACGCGTCAATGAGTCGTCTACTACATAGCTTCATGTCCCTCAAAATCCATCAACTTACTGCAGCGGTTTTTACAATTTGAACAGATATATACAAGGAAATCGGGATGATGTTTTGGTAAATGACAAGCGTGGTCCTTTAAAACACACATGTAAGCATACGAAGGATACCCATAGCCCAAGGTATATACTTACCAGAACATGATGAAACCTTCCATGGTAGCACTTTCAGCATCCTTTGTCTCGAAGTAATCGGCGGATGTATGACTCGAATACATGACACTCGCAGCCACAGAGCAAATGACGCAGAGAATGAATAGTAACACAAAGTTGGCAATGACCTACATCCACGAGTTAGGATATACATGTAGACCCTTTTCCTTTTCCTTTTACTTACATGAGGATTCGTCGCCTTTTCGATTTTGCTTCGTTTGCTTGGTGTCTTTCCCGAGTTGAGCATGATCTTGGTCTCGTTGCCGGTGAAAAGGACCATTCCAATCACCCAACCCGTATTCCTCAAAACGCAACCTCGCAAGAGCACACTGCTGCTGGTGATGGCTTCTGTCTTTTCATGGGATACCTCATCCTCATCATCCTCATCATCCTCATCTTCTTCTTCAAGTGCTGGTGGTGGTGGTGAAAGTCCTTCTCCCTTGATTTCTTCATCCTCGCCCTCCTCCTGATGATCCATTTCCACTTTCCATTTGATGACACCATTGAAAGAATACAAGTTGGCATGAGGTGGTTCAGCTTCGATATAAAACTTTGAACGTTTGCAATCATCCACGGTGTTAATTTCACTTGTTGCCTGGATAGCACGCATGATCTTGAGATTCGTTTCACCATCCAAATTTTGCGTTTCCACATAACACAATCCATCAGGTTCGGAGGAGGATAAAATGGCGATATCAGCAGGAATGTTGTCATTGTTTTGTAGATAGACGAAATCCCCCACATTCAAATCCTGCCAACGTGTCCTTTGCCACCGACGATCAACAGGTTGCCGTACAAGGGTGGATGAGCGTTGTAATGGCTTGTTGGGCTTGGGTTGACCTGATTTCCTTAGCACCGAATGGGGAATCTTGCCTGGTCGATAAGGGCCTTTTCTTTTCCTCTTGAGTTTCCGAAACAATCGGATAGTCTTGCTACTGTTGCTGGCGGGCATAAAATCGGAGCGCATGGTTGACACGCGACTGAGTGTCATATCTTCCCCTTCCTCATGCGGCTGCTGCTTTGTCGATCGGAATAGACCTTTGATAAATTTGGCACAAGTGTTGAGCCATCGTCGCCACAAGGAGACCTTGTATACTGGTATATTGACATTCTTCCAATCCTTCAACGTGTACGTCGTTGCCTTATTCACACTCTGGTCTGTCTTGTGTCGTTTGTTGTCTTCAAAGGCGTCCTTCACTCCCGTAATGATGAGAATCGCTGCAAGTGGTAGAATCACAAGAATAGGCGAGGCTGAGGTGCTGAAGAGTGGGAACATTTGTAGAATGACGAGAAATAAAAAGTACAAGTTGGCGATGCCTCGAAATTGCTCAAAGAGATTCTTTGGCAAGAAGGTGTACCACGTGTATTTCGCTGTTCTGATCTTGTTGGATATGAATGTGGTTGTGGGTTGATTGTAGTCATCGAGCGCGTCGGCGGGTATCTCGGTATTAACATAGATAGTACGACTCTCGGTGGAAGCTGTAGGAAAAGGACTCTTTTTCTCTTTGGCTGCTGCTTGCTCTAGTGTGTCAGTGCGTAATAGTTGCACCAGCCTTGTCCAGGGACTGGTGTTATTGGTCATGGTATATATGAAAAAAGAAGGGACGGGGGAGAGAGAGAAAGAAGAAAGAGTGAGAGTGGAGAGAGAGAGAGAGAGACAAAGGAGCAAGATATAAAGCGGAGAGTGAGTAAATGTAAAGCAACCTTTGGTGCCAAAAAAAAGTAGGTGCTTGTTCTTGACCTGAAAAGGGGATGGTAGTAATTACGAGCATGGATGATCTTGTTGCTCCTGTACAAATGTTTATAAAATAATGCCGTTTAACCCGTATCCAAGTTACCCTTATTCTCTTTCTTTCTTTCTCTTTTTTTTCCCTCTTCCTTTCTCTTTCTCTTAATATGACTTTGTTCCTGAAGAAATTATATTATCATTGATTCATTCACCACATTTGACTACTACTCTTTAATACACCAGGCGGTGTTGCCTCATCTATCCAGGCACCACGTGTTTTTGATTCCCCGGTGCCAAGGCCCCGAAAAGAACGCTATGCCAACCATCCACCGTGTTTGAACTTCTACCGTTTCCGGGTATCTGTCATGAGCTCATGCTCTATTGGATGTCCTTCATTCAGCCGCTGTGGCTGCCAAGCCTGTTGTAACACACATTTCAAAACCCTGGTGGGCTCACGTAGCACACAACTACATTTATTGTAATACTTGAACCTTGCATTCATATCTCTTTGTCTCGTCCTCATACACGCACACACACTAGATAACCTGGTTTTCAAGAATGATCAAGAAACCGCCAAGATTTTCTTTGATTCCACATGTCATATCCCCGCTCTTCTTTGCTGAGCATTGACCACTTTTCATCCTATCATCTTCTCTCATTTTGGCATATGCATATCTATTTTCATTACGTCAAGCACAACAACGTCGACATGAACTGCTTTGTTTTAGCGGAAGTTGGGGGTGATGAATGTCTCATTGATGCATGAACCTCCCGCGGTCTTTTTTCGGGGAAATAGTGTGACGGGTCATGCCCTCCACGCATGAGGCATCATGGTTCCTCCGATTCCATAGATCCGCTCTTTTTCTTTTTACCACACTCTTCTTTTTACCATGGGCGGTATTCAAAGTTGCTTTTCTCCTGCGCCCTATGTTGAACTTAAAGCTAATAATGTCAACGACACCATCCTCACCTATTACACAAATTTGGCATCCGCACAGCTTGGCAGCACGTTAGTATCAGCATCCGACCAATATTACGGCAATGCAAAGCATATGTTACGGGATGATAATCCAACACCAAGCCATCAAAGACGAGGTAACACACACACGCACACACGCACAACCATCATGCATGAAAACAATGGGATGGCTGATCAACTTTAACAAAAAAGATGGTACACACGATGGTTGGCAAACAAGGCGACATTTAAAAGACGCGTCGTGAGTAAAAGTGATATCACATTAGCGTCATCGCTAAAGCTTACATTGCCTCAGTGCCATCATACGCTTAGGAAGCCATGGCCATATCTATGGTATCGAGATCAATACAATTGGCTTTGATGATGCAGCACCCAATACTGCCACGGTGGAAGCCAAAAGAGAAAAGGCACCGCACGAGGTTTGTAGTATGATCATGGATGTATGTTTGGGTAATGATTCTTACACAACTTCAAGTGGGATACCTTGCTATCAGATGTACCTATCAAGCCAGATTCCCATAATCTCTTTTTACTCGGCACGAGCGACCATGTTTATTCGGAAGTGAAACTCACCATTTATCCGGGTAGTGGTGTGGTAAGTTATAGCAGGAGGTATCATATATAATAACAACATGGATTCATGATGATGGATACAATAGGCACGTTTCCGATGTTATGGTGATGCTGTGCCTTCATGGGGAACAAACGTCCATTCAGCCAATTTAGCATCAGCCAAGAATGGTGCTAGAATCATTCGCTGGACCGATATCAAGCATTCCAATAACCCAAACATCCTACTGGATCACTCCAAGAGCGCGTAAGTCATCCTCTTTATCTTTCACGTACTCGTTTATGATCCTCAAAATGGCAACCTTGATATTAGCGAGGATGGTTGGGAGACACCGCATTCACGTACAAATGCACGAAATGACTTTATTGTGGTTCAACTTGCCACACCAGGGATCTTGAATAATGTTGTCGTCAGCACGGAACATTTTATTGGTATGTTCTTCTTTAGATCTCTATTAGCGGTCTAATCCAATGATTGACTATAGGCAATGCCCCCGAATCGGTGTCTGTGGATGGATGTTATAGCACAGAGGTATACAATCGTATTCTATTTTATGCTTGGATACTTGGTGTTGATAGCCATCATGATGATTAGGAGGATCCTGCTTATGATTACTCTGCCAATTGGGAAGAGCTTGTGAGCCAAGCACCCGTTGAAGCAAACAACAAGAATAACAAATTCCCCATTGATTCAAACCAAGTCTTTTCACATCTTCGCCTTACGATTCATCCAGGTAGGATAGTAGTCATCACACAGACAACCTGATCTTGTTGTTTATGCCTATGTATATGTATGTATATAGATGGCGGTATTCAACATTTCTCCGCCATGGGACGTCCAGCACCACCACCAGTAGAGGAGAAAAAGAAAGAAGTGGTGGAGGAAGAAGTGACATCAGAGGAGGAGGAGGAGGAAGCAAATGTGCCTCGTCAAACAAGGACAAGAACAGCAGCAGCAGCTAAAAGAAGAACACGAGCAGCTGCAGAGAAAGCTGTGGAAACCATTCAGGACCTGGCACCTCGTAGGAAAAAGCAACGTAGTACTTGAAAATGACCTCGCTAGTAATAAATAATGAATCGAGTACCCCTTTTTTTCTTCCTTTCCTCCCGTATTCAGGGAAGGGTTGTATGAGATGGAATTGTGTATTATGCATATCGTATTTGACCAAAGGTAGAGGGACTGATCATGATGGTTGATCTGACAACAATTGGTGTATCATGGGGGCGTTGCCATGCATTGCGAAAGAAGATGATGTGCACATACAAAAAGGATGTATATATAGCTCGAAGTACATGTTAGCATGAGCTCATCTTGCCAACACACGCTAAGGTGTCATTGTACCTTTATTACAAGACTGCATGCTAAGGTAGACGTCATATGGGACACGTGATGCATATCATGCGGATCCAACAAAGCGACAAAGTGAGAGCGAGCGGGATCTTTACCGATCCCTTTCCGTCCTTTATAGTTTCCTCTTTTATACACACTCGCCCCACACACACTCATAATGACCAGCAGCCCTGCACCAGGCTCACGTCTTGTCGACTACTTTTTTATTGCTGGAATCAAGGACCATCAAATACTATCAACCTATCATTCAACCAGGGACGGGAGGCAGGACGATGACTTGTACTATCATCGGCAACAGATCGCCATTCAACCGAATAACAACAGCCGTCCACCCAACAACTTGCAACGGGATGGGTCGTTTGGTGTTCTCGATCACGTCCAAGCTGTCATTGACCACTTTGATAAGGAACGCGACCATGCGAGGAATACTGTCATTGCTGTCCACGATCAAGAGTGCTTGGCGGAGAAATATAATATGGCAGGAGGTCCAGGAGGTCGCCACCGATCCGCTTCTGCTAACGAGTCGTCTCGAAAACGTAAGCAAATCATCCTCTTCTTCTTCTTCTTCTTACACTTTATTAACCTTGTTTTGTATACATCAGCCGTTACTGCAGGAAAACGACAACGGCAATATTCTGAACCACCACCAGCATGGATGAAATCATCAGAGAATCATACTTCAACAACAACAACAACAACATCATTATCAGCACCACAATCCATCCCGAATATACTCGACATTAAATACCCACCTGCCATCTTATCACGCTATCCTAATGTCCATCAACCTTCTTTTCCACCTTATACGGCCATGGTATGTGATTGAGTTCTTGAAAGGGGGGATGGTCTTTGTTCTGATCTCTTTTATAGTTTTGTTTTCCAAAGGACATTTCCTTGTTTTATGGTGACATCCCGCCTCCAGAGCAATTGCATTCCTTTGTAAGATGACATCCCATGGGGACCCCATTCTCTATGATGCTAATACCCTACACAGACCATGACGGATGAAAATGGTGGATCAGTTCATGGTACATGCGTCATATTCTATGAACCCCTTGTCGACAAGTTGGTATCGCCAGTGGATGATGCTATCCAAGAATGGGTCAAAGAGAACATGGCAAGTATTCCCACCCACCCCCAATTGGATCCTATGCCTCTATCTAACAGGATAAATAGCCACCCAGCACGATTGAATATGCTCAACATTTGAAGATCAAAATCAACGAGGAGAAAGCAAAGCTTGCACAACATGGCGCTGAGTTGGCATCCTTGACGACGCTTACAACCACGGCTGCGATCAAAGAACAACGACAGGAACTTGAAGAATTGGTACGCAGCGCACAAGAAAACTTGACATTGTACACCGAATTATTGGAGCCTGTCAAGATGGGTGTGTGCGAAGCTCGGCATGTATGGGTTCCTAAAAGCGTCGGATTGGTTGGATGTATGCCTTGGCATGACTTGTATGGAGACTGGTTACGTATCTTGGTGGATGCCGTTGTAGGCGTACGTGGACACAAGAATGATGGCCCTGTGTTAAAAGTGGAAAGGTAAAGAACGCGTCATTCATCCTAATGCTATTTGACTATTTAACGCGCTCACTCTCTTTCTCTTTCCAGTGTGGTTTCCAATATCATTCATCATGTACCATTACCTCCACCTGGGCGATTCGAAATAGGCCTCACGATCAATAATCGGCCTTTGTATTTATCACGCCCGCCAATCAATCAAGTGCCACTCTTGAAAAATGCAAGTCGAATGGAAAGGATGGGATAAAAAGCGATCATATTGACATGGATTTCTATAGTTTTCACTCTACCCTGTGTTTCGAGCATTATCCCCGCATTTGATCTTGGCTATCATCGAGGTATTCTGATGTTGATTGTTCATAGTCGACCTATTTACTAAGCCCATATTGTAGACTCTTTTAGCTGAAGGAAAGGTGCTATTCCTCTCTCAATATCCTGGCATGCTGTCCATTGCCTGTGAGACATTTCGTTATTTGTTGTTTCCATTGTATTGGCAGTTTGTTTTTATTCCAGTCTTACCACAGCGGCTCTTGACATGCTTGCAGGCAAGCTATTATACCTTTCGATCCATGCTCTCCTATTTCTCATTCATAGTATTCTATATAGGCGCCTGTTCCTTATATCGTTGGATTCCCTGGTGATATGGAGGATGTGGAAGAATATGTTTCTGAAGATGTAAGAAGAAATCAAACAAATAATAAGGACAATTTGACTCACGTATCGCTTGGATAGACTTGCATTGTCAACCTTGACAGCAATTCCATGCACAGCCATAAGCAATCATCCATGCTACCCGAGAGACAGCGTCGTAAGCTATATGCAGCATTAGATCAGTATGCACCTCTTCATGGCGCAAGATATCGTATCCCTTATGGAATTCCACTCCCTGTGCGTGAAATGTTTCCAAATAGCCGAATGCTCCTTTCTTGTGGTCGATCCAAGATTCAAAGCACCTATGATAACAGCATATCACGTGACTCTGATGTGAGCGATACGACGCGTCATTTATCGAGTTTATGGTCAACGAGTTCAAGAAGCTCCAACGATTCTTCCACGTCATTGCCTACTTCGCTTGATGTTCCAACGCCCATGTTGCCTCAATACCCAGGCAATGCAAAGCTGGCCACTCTTTCACAGGCTTCCAATTCATCATCATCGCTGCATACACCGCCTATGAGTCCAACGGTCTCCAAGAGTCGCCTACAAAGATCTTCAATGACTGTTCAAAGACATGGATCTACCTCTTCGCAACCCCATACGACCAGTAAAGCTCATGGAGAAGAAGATAACAAACCCAAACGTCGATTATCCACCTTCATACCCAAACCACGTGCAGCTTTACAGGTAAAACAAATGATGATGGCAGTGTTATTAAAATCTCAAGGCTAAACTTTTCTTTTATAGAATGAATCCGATTTTCCACCACCTCCACCACCTCCTGCAGCATCTTCTACTGCTCGTGTATCCATGTATTCCTCTCATGCTCAGAACGGCTATGAATACAATCGACGTGAAGCGATAAGACGAGTGAAGCACATTGAAGGCCATATCATGACCCAAGTCTTGTCACGCGAATTAGCAAGTCTTCAAGGCTACCGATGTCTATGTGGAAAACAGGTAGCGGATGTGGTTCAAGCCGATGATCGGCCTCGTCAAAGCAGCACGTTTATGCGTTGCCAAGGTAACTATTGCCATGACAACAAGCATCAACTTAAGGATACTCATACCCACATGCGTATATATATATATAGAATGTCATCTTGTCACCCATGAAGAATGTGCAGAACAAATCCTTCATCCATGCCTTCCAGCATGTTTCAACGAACGCAAAGTGCAAGAGGCGTTTTTACGTACATTTGCTTCGCTCTTTTACAACTACAGAATTGGTTTTGTGGATGATCCTCAAGAAGTGAATGGGCCAGCACTTGCATCTACAGGCGATTATTCCACCAAGTTGCAAAAAGGTGTCCTGTACTTTTCCAAAGAGAAATTCTTAAAGCATGCAGATAAGGATAGTCGTGTAAGTCTTGGTCAATCATGGGATGATGTCCTTCTCCACCACTCATTAACAAGCACCATTAGTCTTATCTCTCGCAGCTAGTCGACTCGCAGATGTTTACTCAGTTTATCACGGATCGATTGTCGAAGCCAAGGAATGACCCTGAAGTCCTTTTATTTGATGAGTATGTGATCATAGTGGATGGAGACCTATTTTTTGGCTAATGACTTTCCTTGAAGGTTTATCAAACTCAAGTTGAATCGATCCAAGCTTAAATTTGTCAAGGAAGATACACCTTTTCTCAATGACGATTCCTTTAATATCTCACAAACAATTTGGGCTACACCTCCAAGTGATACTTCGGTCGAATCTTGTAAGTCATTCTTATTCAGGGTTTTGCATGAAATCTTACACACCATGTCTTAGACGATCGATTTCCGATAGATTTGGAGTTATCCGAATGAGCTCATTATACAGCATACCTACCTTTATTCTAATTATTCGCAATGTAATCTAAACTACTCGTACATAATCATACACACCGTAAGGTAGATACCAACAACGAATGATGATAGTGCCCTGGAACATATTTGGTAGTCAAAGCAAAATACAGATAATTGCTTGTTGAAAACAAAATGAGAGAATAAGGTTCGGATAAGAAGAATGCCAATAATAAACAAATGTTCAAGATACTTTTGAGAGTTGTTCATTATTGCCACCATTACTTGGTAAGTTTATCTCTTTTCTCAAGCATAGGAAAGCTCATTGTGGTCATAGTTTCCTTTGAAACAAGACTGTTTGGATAGTGATCCCCCTTTAGTCAATGATTCTTGCTTACAATCTTTATACACATACACACATACACTCACTCATACGCAATCTTCCAAGAAGTGCGCCACTTGTTTTATTGTTTAAGATTTAAGACATCTCTTTTTGTTATGGAAGCATCTCCCAACTTTTTCTACGCCTCTCTCTTTTTTCATTCCCTTTTCCTTTTCACCCCATACAATCGTTAATGACAGCTTATCAATTCCGGTAAGAAGAGTAGTAGTAAAAAGTAGATGACTATGCATGACCTAGTAACACGGCAATGTATGTATGTATGTATGTAGTGTACGTGTGGATGATCGATCCTTTCTGGTGCAGCTTGCATTGCAGGGCAGTAGTAAACCACGATTTTTGGATTTGATTGAAGCTATACGACATACAATCAAGGTACAATCATTCACATGATATGCGGGGATAGGGATTGATATGTATGCGGCATGTCAATAGGACCTGAATATGGACGAGTACCAGATTAGCACTCATCAACAGGACGCTTTGTACGACGATCACTCACTGCAGCATGCTCTTATACGCAACGACCCACTCGAGCTTGTATTGGAGCGCAATATTTCCGATCGACGTAATGTTAAAAGATGACAAGATGAGTTGTGAATCTCACTGACCCTCGCCCCCCTTTTTCCTTTTCGCTATTAAAAGGTAGCCTGCAGCAACAACAACAACAGCATAAGCCTGTCCCAATAGTTAAACCAGTTGTACGTCGGAGGTCAGATCCACAGGCACGAAAGGATTCAGGTGTAGATTTAGACCCTCTTGAAGAAGATAAAGAAGAACAACCTGTAAGGAAAAAGCAACGTTGTTTATCATCATCTACTACTACACCAACGACACGAAAACTCCCAATACCATTACCAACTACAACCAACCTCTCAACTAAAAGCGTACATCCACTTGATCGTCTCCCTCCCATCACATCCACCACAACTACTTTGGCCAATACTACCTCTGTCACCCTTCCAGGCCTTTCATCCATCACTACAGATGCTCCACCTCCACCTCCTCCTCCACAACCACAGCCACATGCAAGATCACGTTTATATGGGTTAACCGCTACTACAACACGTCGACGAGTCTCTTCTGCTCAACATTCACAACACCAACAACAACCATCGTTTGTATGTGATAAACGAATGAATGATGGATCTACTTGTGGTCAAACCTTTCGTCGATCTTATGATCTGCAACGTCATCAAACGATTCATCTCAAAAACAGGCCTTATTGTTATTGCGAACAATGTGGTAAAAAGTTCACTCGTATGGATGCTTTACGTCGCCATGAACGAGTACAAGGTCATAGCAACAAGTATAGCAACAATAATGATCGACGATCCTCCTCCTCTTCTTCCTCTTCTTCATCTGCTCAGCAGGCTCGAGCATAATCTTGGTCTCTCTTTTTCGATACCTCTCCCTCTCTTTCTTTTTACACCTCTTCCATTTCCTTCCATAATACTTGTACACAATTGTCTTTTAGTTGAATGATATATAACTTCTATTTCTCTATTGCCGTAATTCCCAAACTTCCTCTGAGCTTCGTAACCGTTTCTTTTCCATTGCTTTTTCTTCTTCACGTTTACGTATCATGCGCTAAAAAATCATGGGGAAGGTCAGCATCATCCTCTGTATACACACACACACACACACACACACACATGTAACTCCTTACATCGGCTACTTCATTTGACTTGGTCTTGGTTGTAAGACAAAACTTGAAATCCTCCCATTTTTCAGAGCAATCCTTCTTTCCACCATATCGATAGTAATTTAATGCTTGTGCTCCTAGTGCTGTAGAAAGAGTCGTAGTCAAATCCACCTGTTGTCTACCAATAAACGACCCTTTTGGACCTACTGTAACAATTCCAAACAGCATCGAACGTCTGTGACACACTGCATTTAGCGTAATCGCGCTTGTTGTCGTCTTGAATTTCCTTAAAAAAGGCTTCAGTGTCGGCGTCGTGTGATTCGTCTTTGCTCATTAGATAAAAGTGTGTGGAATAAAAGAGAGTGGAGTTTCACCAGGAAGGAAGGGGAGGAGTCACCACCACCCTTTGGACACCCGTAAAGCTGTCACATGATGTCAACTTGGGTAGCATGAATGAAATGATATTTGTTGTCACCGTTACCACTGATCGCATGTAAACAATTAGCTGCATCCAATGCATTGTACATCCCTTGATACACCATCCCAACCCTTCTTGCGCATGATTTCATATATAATGGCACCGGCTTTCATCATCATAACCTTTGTTTATTTGACTCTACATCATATCTACTAGTATATCCTTGCAGTTGGTGGCACAGGTTTGCATTCATTCACATCCAAGGTTTGATCGTTGACATTACGATACCCAACAGCCACCATGCCTGTATCATGTTGTTGCCTGGTAAGCGTATGCTTCATCCAATTCTAATAACCCCCCACAACATTAGTTCGAAAAGCAAAACATGGCTGTTATGGTACTAGTATACCTCGTCATCCCGATCAGGGTAATCCATCCTTGCATGAGCACCTCTTGATTCTTTTCTTGCAGCTGCAGCATGGATTGTTTGAGATGCACATATTAAAGAGTTCTCCAATTCCAATGTCTCTGTCATATCCGTATTCCATATCATGCCTCGATCGGTGATCCCCACATTTGAAAAGTCATCCCATATAGCATCCATCTTATCACAACCTATATAAACCATATGAGTATAATACTCGGCCATGTTCCTTCTATTCCGCTTTATACCTTCGTCAAGGGATTCCTGAGTACGAAACACGGCTGCATCAGCTTGCATAATCTTTTGCATTTTCAATCTAATATCGGCCGTCTTGCTGGTGCCTTGAGAAGTCCTTAGCTTTTCAATCTTTTCTATGGATAAGATGCCAGCATTTTCATCAGCAAAGGGCGAGAGAGATGCTCCAGGTTCGGCATGATTGGCAATATGATGAGCAACAGCACGACCAAAAACGACAAGGTCAAGTAATGAATTTGCACCAAGACGGTTGGCACCATGTACCGAGACACAGGCAGCTTCACCAATTGCATAGAGCCCCTTGACAACCTTGTCATTGCCATCTTTATCGACATCAAGCACTTGACCCGTATACTTTGTTGGAATACCTCCCATATTGTAGTGGACAGTGGGAATCACAGGGATCGGTTCACGTGTTACATCCACACCACAAAACACGGATGCCGTTTCACATATACCTGGCAAGCGTTCTCGAATAAGCTCCTCTGGCAAATGATGGAGTTGCAAGTATACGTGATCCTTTTCATCACCCACACCACGGCCTTCCCTAATCTCCATGCTCATGGCTCGTGATACAACGTCTCTTGAAGCCAAGTCTTTCGCTGTGGGTGCGTATCGCTCCATAAATCGTTCACCAGCAGAATTAATAAGGATCCCACCTTCACCTCGACATCCTTCTGTGATAAGACACCCTGCTCCATAGATACCGGTAGGATGGAATTGAACAAATTCCATGTCTTGCAAAGGCAAACCAGCACGTGACACCATTGCATTCCCATCACCTGTACAAGTATGTGCTGATGTGCATGAAAAATACGAGCGACCATATCCGCCGGTAGCGATCACAGTATGATCGGATCGAAATCGATGCAACGTGCCATCTTCCATACTTAGAGCAATCACTCCTTTGCATTCACCATCTTCCATAATAAGATCCAGGGCGAAGTACTCGATGAAGTAGTTGGTGTCGTATCGTAATGATTGGCCATACAATGTATGCAAGAGCGCATGCCCTGTGCGATCAGCCACTGCTGCACAACGAAATGCTTGTCCCCCTTGTTGATGTACGTATTTCTTCATTAATGATACCTCCATGTATGGATCATCTCGTTTTACCTTTTCCATATTCTAAACTTTGCCCTCCCAATGCACGTTGATAAATCTTGCCTTGTTGATTTCTTGAAAATGGCATGCCGTAGCTCTCTAATTCAATGACAGCTTGTGGTGCTTCTCGACACATGTAATGGATGGCATCTTGATCACCCAACCAGTCGGACCCTTTTACAGTGTCATACATGTGCCATCGCCAATCATCTTTTGTCATGTTACCCAAAGCAGCATTGATACCACCCTTTATCTAAGAGTGAGTAAAAGAGGGATCAGATGCGCGTGCATTCTCACCTGTGCTGCTACTGTGTGGGAACGTGTTGGAAAAAGCTTTGTAATACATGCTGTCTTGAACCCTGCTTCAGCCAATCCAAAGGATGCTCGAAGTCCTGCTCCACCAGCACCCACAACGACAGCGTCATATTGGTGATCAAATACTGTGTACTTGCTTGTAATAGGTTCCTAAAAACCAATATCAGGTACCACTGAATCGATTCAAAGGATTCTTTTTACCTCGGTGGCACTCAAAGGCTTATTGCTGACAACGCTACGAGCAGGTCTAGAGGTACGCAGTCCACGCTGTTGGCTCCTTGGGAAGAAACGTGATGTCTACATTGTTGTGAGGCGGATGAGCATGTTGTAAAAAAATCAATATACATGAGGATGACTTACATGTTGGAAAGAAAAACGATGTGCCCTGAACATGCTATCAATATCGCATGCATAAATGGGATGGCGGAAATGCCTTTTATACCATTATCCTAGTTACACATGACCTCTCGGATGTACTATAATCCCTTCCTTTAGCATTAGGTAATGGACGCCATCTTCACGTCTTCATGTTGGCACAAGCACATGTTTAGGCTTTTTGGGATATCGCTTCCTGTCGTATGTCGATAAGATTCATCCACGCCTGCATACGTATAGTTTTTTCACTTGCCGTCCCCATGCCATCATATGCTGTATTCAATTCATACTAAGAAAATTCCCACGTTACGTGCAAGATGAATCTGTTTTATTAATCCAAGTCCAAGTACAATTGAATCTCATCCAGCAATAAGTAATAGATAGATCTGCAACCATGGTATTGCCCCAAACGACAACTTTGCCAAGTGGATCAACATGGTAAATAACTAACCCCGCAGATGCAGCCGAGACAAGCCCGTCTTCTTTTGTGGTTCCAGAGTCTGGCCTTCATGGGGTAATCTCTTTTCTACAATTAAAGATACCTTTAAGCATATTCATCTATCATCACATGTCATCCGACTTACCCAAAGTAATTGAAGAAAAAGCACCTTTTGCATTGCATGATTTGTATGCCCAAGCAACGCAGTAATGTTCTGACAAGAGCCGCCATTCCTCCATCTCATCCAACATTTCTAGTTTTGCCATCCTTGAAAAATCTCTTGGATCCAACAATGTGTCATGCACCATATTGATGTCCAACGCTTTGGCATGATCCCATCCCAATCGTAAGAAACGCTGTTCCTGGTCCTTCAATTCTGGATAGGCATGGATGCCACGCAATTCAATGTGACGACTCTATCGAATGAGAGAGAGAAAGTTTAGTGACAATGATGCATATAAAAGATGCTCTCGTATTAGTTACCTGCAAATTATGGATCATCATTCTTCCGAATGCATCGTCAGGCTTGATTTGCTCATATAACGCAACCATGGCATCCGTAAGTTCTCGTGTCAACCAGTCGATAATGCGATTCGAATCCAAAGGGTCCAAGTAAATCAATACGCATTCGGATATCACCAAAGTAGGAGAACTAACAAGATGATGTATTAGCCCACAAACGGTAGCAAAGCGGTATGGCCCATCACTTACTCCACTTTAAAACCATGCTCCTTGAGACGTTTGGCAATGTCATCCCATTCGCGTAAATCACCACCCAAGAGACAATAGTGCTTGCTGACCAATTCCATTCCTCCCTTTACTATCCTTGACGTCTCAGTATGTAACCAATGTGCTTGATATAGAAGTTTACCTGCTCTGGCATCTGTGAGATATTGGCTTAACTCCTTTCTGCGATGAACGATGGCGGCTTTTTTGGCAATGGTTTCAGGAAAATCAATTTCATAGTAGCATCCAATGTCCAGACCACGTTGCTAAACATCCTGTTGTTGTTTAGTCTTCTCATGTATACCACACATCCACGATCATCCAATAGGCACCTTGAGCATAAAGTAACGCGTATCAAATCCTGATCCAAGCGAAATGATTTGCTTTTCCTTGCCAGGGATATCCAATTCCAGAAACTGATGAACAAGGCGATCGAGTACAAGCTGCCGGATATAGGTGCCTATCCATACGTTCTTAAGTATCCCTATACCATCCACATATCCACCTCCTCCTCCTACCTCTGTTCATAATGGGTGATCGTTCCACTGGCCGTTTAACAAAGTACTTTACAAACTCATCAGCAAAGTATCCCTTGGCAATCGCTGATCTGTATATGTGACATGGCGACTTTTGCGTCATTTAACCCGTCATCTTCAATAGAGTAGTGGCACATGCTTGGGAATACTTGCAATCGGCTGACGGTCGCATCGTCATTGGTGCTGCGAACAATTTCGTTCTCGTCGTTCTCGTCGTAGGAAAAGTGCATAGGTAGGTAAATGGAGGGAAGACAAGGTAAGACCACAAAGCACGGCAGCCTTCCGCTTGAGCATTAGAGATTCCACGTGACTTTTGCGCACCCGCCATTGGCACCGCAAGCTACTCCCATGATTCAGGATATTATCGAGCATGCAACGAGTGTATTTAAATAAATGCTACTATTATACAAGGGTGATTTGATATTACAAAGAAGAAGATATGAATTCTGGATGATGGGTAATGCGATCTTTATCAATGATCTGGTCTCCATTGGGTCTGAAATCCCAAGAAACGCCATTTTCAGGGAAGGCATCCCACGTGGGTAGACATGATCCCCATGCATAATCGAAATTGGGAGTATCCTCAGGGCACATGCATTTGCCCAACACGCCGTCATCAATGCAATGTGCAAAGTTATCGTGCTTGTAGCCAATGTCTTTGAAAAAGTGCACCTGCGCCTTTTCTAGAAACAATCCGGTTGCCAGGCTGTGCACGATAGCGTCTCCCCATCGCTCATAGAAAAAGTTGCCTGTCGAGTCGAGGTATTCGAAGTATTGTTGATATCGTTCATCTCGCCACAAGTTGAGTGATGCAATCTCAAAGTTAGACCAAAAGTGACATAGGTTGTAGCCTTCTTGCTCATTGGCAAACATGCGTAAGAGTGTTGTATTGAGACCTTGTGCATGAGCAAACCGCATTGTATGCTCCCAGAGAGTTGGAATGGTTGCTGGGATTTCTTCAAGGGCTACTGTGAAGCTATAGAGCTTGTTGTTTTGCTGCATAAACACAAAGGGATCATAGTCAAGGTCACAATAAAAGTGTACACCGGGTTCGACACGCCTGGAAAAGACTAATAAGCATTTGTTGTCCTTCCATCTACGAGTCCTTGTAGCTAGCTTACCAATAATAATCATAAGAGGCTAAGAGTGGATGATGATAAAAGAAACCCGAATTGAATCGACACATGTGCCGATATGACAAGGAGCCACCATACAAAATGCCGCGTGCTTGATAATCGGCCAATTGCTCATTCATTTTGTTTGTATTGACCCAGCTTGGGACAGACCACATGGATTCAGGGACAACTCCAAATTCAACCTTGGCTGTTGTCATTTGCTTTATCGCATCCTGAAACACATCCGTAAAGTTTTCGTCATTCAAAAACACGTAGGGATACTGGAAATGCCGATTAAAGCGACTATAGCAGGTGTGAAAATTAGCTTGTGGATGTAAACTACTAGTAGTTACGATTTAGCTTACTCCTCAAATTCACGTAGGGTTCGACGCATGGCATTTAATTCATTGTTTCTACACAGGATCACAATGACGGCATTGGCTCGTTTTGATGTTAATGTTGTGTTGGTGTTGATGTGCTGTGTCGACGACTCGTTTTGTGAAGGTGGTTTTGAAGATGACGATGATGGTGGATGATGCGTGCTTTCCGATGATATCGATGGTGGTGTATTATTTGTATGATCAGGCGACTGTTGCTGATCATCTTCATGTATGCTGTTAGGTGCTTCATCCTGTAAGCTATGCGTGTCCAGGTCATTGCTATCATGCATAACAGAATAACATGACGATGAAACGGAAGTAGCTGTGTGGTTGCTGCTTGTACGCGATACAAGATACAAGGAGCCAAAGTAAAAGATGCTCAGCCCTGATAGGATAATAAGGTATGCTGTAATGTTACGTCTCATAACGCAGTGGTGGTGGTCAATAAGATTTTCCTCAATGACAAAAGGGAAACAACGATAGAAAAAGGTGGCGATTCCTTCTTTGGCTTATATATTAAGGCTGTTTTTGTACATAACTCAGCTTCATGCCACGGTCGAATTTTCTCTTTACAGACGATGATCGTCGTGGCTCATGAATCATCGTATATATATTACATGAATTGAGCTCCTTGTGTGTTGCAAAATAATCCTTCTTTATCTCAACATATGATGCATTTCATAAAGGCAAGAAGATCGACATCACTGCTTTATTATCATGATGAATGGCTGACAGCCACCATACCTACTTCTTGTTGCATCTCTCTCTGTACGCATCAACTTGAATTGCCGCTGAATGGTCTTGGCGCATGCTGTTTCAAGTTTTTATGCTCAACCTTGGAATTGGCCAAATAGAGCTAATTTGAACAGGTTGCAGCTGATACTTTACAACTGCTTAATTACGCCAGCTTGTGGTGTGCAAGCTCAAGTGGTACAAGAATCTACTTTTCACTCACACTACTGCCTTGGCATAATTTACGCATGGTATCCATGGCAAGAAAACGAGTTAACCCGCGGCAATGTCAACAATGCCAAGGAAAAGTCAGTGAACAACGCCATGCTTTTTCTGGAATGGTCTACAAAAGTTCCTGATTCATCACCCATATCCGGTATTATCTACACCACCACGCATGATGCATTTTTGCTATCGCATCGATAATACGCTGGTTGTTTGATGATACTCGTTGGGATACAAATCGAAAGAGCTATTACATCCTGCTACTGGGTCATTGATAGAATTACTTTGGATCACGTGGTTTATGCCATCATGTGACAACCAATCGTTATAGTGAGTCAAATGTTTATTCAACTAGTATGTGTATGCACTAACAACCAGGGGATGATATCGGTGGATGGCGTTCGTATGTATACAATTGAGGCTAAGATATCATAGACGCAGCAGCCCCCTGCTTACATTTTCATGGGCATATGAAAGAGGTGATCACGTAATCAGCTGGCTAATGACCATCGTCGGCGAGGGAAGCTCTGTATAGTTGACGTGGCGACGGTAACCACTCATTGCGGGGATGCTGTTGCTAAGGATTATGCATAACACCTTTGTTTGTATAGCCCCCTTTCTTTGTATTTCTTAGTTCGACCACCACCACCACCACCACCAACGAGCAGACCAGTCTTCTTTGGCATACTGAAGGCAATCGAGGTCAGCTTTAGGCTGCAACAATCACAATTGACATTGAGGAACCGATCAGCCGCATGTCTTTGCACAAGAACACAGTGCGTCGATGTGGGTCAATGCTCGGCTACCGATCGACCAGCAGCAACAGGGCGACCTCCACTATGGGAAGGATAGCAGCAGTTGTCGGAATAGTAAGATGATCAAGCAACATGGATCAAGCCTTTACAATGTATCGATATGACATTTTCTTTTCATCCATCTACATGCGACATCTGATAGAATCATTCATGCAACCCAAAAAAGCAGTAATTGATAGCTCTATCTCAATTTTGGCTTATAAACAGTAGTAGAAGTTAATGATCAACCTAGCTTTATACCAATAAAAATGGAGGTAAATGTATCAACAAAGGATTGTCTGGATAAATTGGATGTTGTTGTTGCTATGGAACATGAATGAGATCATCTCTCTGGAATAAGTAACATTAACAAGAGATCATAGACCAACATCTTGTGAGAATTCAGAGGAGTGTACAATGTAATTGCATCATGTGATACGAGCATTGATAGTTATCCACCCCACAAAAGACGCGTGTTACACGGATCTGGTGGTAAATTTTCATGTGCTCCCGATTTGCTTTGTCATTTTTAATCCACACAGGTCTTTCCTCTTAACCGCACACATACAACAATGAAGATTACTCCTGAAGCAGCAACCAAATACCCTGACTTGGATGATTTAGTGAAATTGTATTCTCGTCGAAATCAACAAGCCATCTTTTGGGAAGACCAGGTGCACGCTCACTTATCCATTGTTGATGCACAACCGAATAAGTTGGTCTGGGAGTTTGATGTCGAAGAAAAGCATTGTAACCAGTTGAGTATCCATCATACGATGATTTATTGTGTATAGCTACTAATCAGGCAAGATAAATAGATTGGGTAACATGCATGGTGGTTGTGTGGCAACTATTATTGACATCTGTAGCAGTTTTGCTATCCTTGTGTTTGAAGGTAATAATATCACGATAAAACATCTTCGATCATCCCATGTCACACTGGCTCATATACCCAATCATCCCCGTAGGCAAACGCAAGTGGAAGTTGATTGGTGTCTCTACTGATCTGGGTGTGTCCTATATGCGAGGAATCCCTGCTGGCGGCAAGGCACGACTTGAATGCGACGTCCAAAGAGTGGGAAAGACGCTTGCCAATATCTATACCAAAGTATACGACGAGGCTGGAAATCTCTGCTACGCCGGATCACATACAAAGTACTGCATCGATGCCAATTTGTAATAGACTTTCCTCATGGCCATCGCTTCTTCCAATGAAGGGCTGATACAATAATAATAAAGATGCCCATCCAATGAATGCTGCTGAATGAGACGAGTGATGGTGGTGTTGGGAAAGGTAGTACGTGTGGGCCACAACAACAGCAGTTGACTGGAAAAGGAAGGTTCCGATTTTAGAGATGGCATGCATGATCATCCATCCCTTTTGAAGCGTCACGTCATTTGAAAAATGAAACGAATCACTTACAGAGTGTGATAACAGGTGTCAATCCTACTTGTGTCTGGCCTGTTGTTTAAATTCCCATATTCGTTGGTTTCACTCTTGCAACAAATATAATTCGCTCTTTATCAATCAATCGGTGTCATTCTCCTTCTTCCTCTTCTTTGTTTACGATCACTATTACAAATGCCACCCAACCCAGATGATGACTTACCTGTACCAACAGAACCTATCACTCGACGCTTCTCGCAATACTATGTCCCTCAAGGTGTATACCTGGGTCTCGATGTGAGCGTTGATAGAGAAAACAACAAGGTCAGCTACTCCATGTCGGTGCATGATGGTTCTTACACCACCGATTATTATGCCGGCGACTTTGACATCGAACCCAAAGACGATCCTCAAGCGACTCTCAAGGCTGGTTTACAAAAATTGGTCGATACCATTCGCATGTTCTCTGTTTCTCAACACTACAAGATTCAAATCGTCGCCTTGTCAAGTGATGTTGCAGATCATATATACAAGTCCTTCCCGAACGAGACCGAACAAAGCATTGCATCCATGTTTTGGCGTCAATTAGATGCTATTCCTTTCCATGTTCATACTCATGGCGAATCAGCAGATGAACGTGCGAGTGCTGCTGTACGCAAAGCTGTCATGTGGATGTCTCCCAAATATCCTGGAAACATCCCTCGTGTCTGTGTTGGCTATAAACATGAGGTGGAAGGTAATGTAATGACAACAATGAACATGATTACATCACGCGATGAGGGCTCATTGTGAATGCATAATAGTGGACTTCAATGGGATGATTCATATTGCGGAGCTCGAGGATTATCAACGCACTGTCCAAGCCGAAACATGGCGTGTCCTCAATGAAATGTGCGACAAATACAGAAACCGCAAAGTACGCGTAGCCTATTTCAACTCGACACCCCAAGGTGGAGGAGGTAAATTCAAGCTCTCTCTCGCATTCTTTTACGTTTCCTTCCTCCTTATCATGGTTTTTACTTTTATTAGTGGCGTTGATGCGGCATGCTTTACTACGTCTTTATCGCTTATTGGGCATTGACTGTCATTGTAAGTTTGTTTGTTGGATGAATGTGATGGAACGTGTAGATAAACAAACATCCATCCTCGCTTTTAGGGTACGTTACACGTCCAAAGCCTGAAGTCTTTGATATCACCAAACGCAAGTTCCACAATGTGTTGCAAGGTGTGGCTCCTCCTGATGTTCGTTTGAATGACGATGACAAGCAAATGTTCATTGATTGGTCCAACGAGAATGTGGAACGCTTTTGGCTCGGCAACAAGGGTCCCATAGAAAACTCGGATGTCATTGTCATTGATGATCCACAAGGTATTACTATTATGAGACGTAGCATTTTCAATCAATCGACTGATGTATGGTGGTTTGTAGTGGTCGGAATCATTCCGCATATCAAGAAGCATAATCCTCGCGCACGTATCATTTTCCGCTCCCATATTGAAATGCGTGCCGACTTGATCCGTGATGATCCAGAAGGCCCTCAAGCAGAAACATGGAAGTGGGTAGTCGATTACATGTGATACATGAGTATCGAATTAATCACGTTGTGTAGTTTCTTGTGGCAATTCATCCAACATGCTGATCTCTTTATTGCTCATCCCATGGACAACTTTATTCCTGATGTGGTGCCTCGAAAGAATGTGGTTCTCATGCCAGCTACCACCGATCCTTTGGATGGCCTCAACAAATCTCTCGACCCTTGGTGCACCGATTATTATCAGCAAGTATTCAATCGTGTATGCATAGATCAAGGTGCAAATGAAGTCGACTGGAGCCGACCCTATATTGTTCAAGTCGCTCGCTTCGATCCATCTAAGGGTATTCCCGATGTCCTCGAATCCTATCGTCTATTACGTGAAAAGATGGCAGCCAATGGCATAGAGGAGTTTGACACACCCCAATTGGTTATTTGTTAGTATATCCATGCATGGCATCATCCTCCAAACGTATTACCTCATACGATGTTTTTTATTTCTAGGTGGTCATGGCAGCATTGATGATCCTGATGGCACCGTCATTTACGAGCAAACATATCGCACCATTCAAAAACCAGAGTTTGAAGCTATCTCCCTTGATATTATTGCAGCACGTCTTCCGCCATCAGACCAACTACTCGACTTGATCATTCGTAATGCAGTGTGTGCACTCCAATTATCCCACCGTGAAGGATTTGAAGTGAAGGTGACAGAGGCACTCTATGCAGGTAAAGTGGAAAAAGAAACAACAACATGTCATGTCATGTCCAAGAGCTAACATGATGTTGTTGTTGGATCATGTTTAGGTGTCCCTGTGGTCGCTTATCAAGCAGGTGGCATCCCGCTACAAATTGTAAACAACGAAGATGGTTTCCTAGTCCCTATTGGTGACGTGCAAAGTGTAGCAGATCGCCTTTATGCATTGACCACGAACAATACGTTGAGGCAGCAAATGAGTGACAATGCCCGAAAATTGGTGACCGAGGAGTTCTTTACGGTCTGGAATGCAATTGGATGGCTCCACTTGTTCCTTCAAATGACCGACAGTGACAGCCAAGAATGTGAGAGCCAAGGTCTGCTTGATGTGGAGGCTACTTTTAAACGCAATTCAGGACTCGGCAACGAGGTCAAGGTGTGTGAATTGTGGAAAAAGTACTACAACTATCAGCCTACAACAACCTAGATCGTATGATTACTACCCGACGACCCCCTTCTTTACGTGATTCCTTTTCTTCTTCTATATGGGTACACAAATATTATGCTACTTTATATAAAAATCATGCGTATGACTTTTTTTTCCTGATTTCGCAATGTGCTTCGTAGTATTAGCTAGGAGGCAATGGGTTTCATCCATGTTGTTAAGAACCATCCGATGACTTTTATATAGGGAAATTGGGTCTATGTTGAAGCTGAGATGATTGGAATATCCTTCTTGAGGAGCACCACTTGTCAAACTAACATGAAACAAGCTTCTTGTCTACAATGCATGAGAAGAATGGGTGGGTATGTATTTACTCTATACTTTCTTTTCAATGGGCTCAAAGACGCGATCTACGACATGTTCGACTGGATGGTCAAATATAAAGGGTAAAAAGGGAACTACGCTTAAGCCCATGCATGTTGGACCCCACATTTTCAATTTTGGGCTCTTGGCCTTTTCGAATACATGTTTGGCACTAAACTTTACAATCGAGTGAATAGTCATCATAGGTAATGCCATGGATGCTAGTGACTGGAAAACGCCACGTTTGACTGCCATGAGACCAATGGCGGCATTATCCTTTCCTTCTTTGGCAGCCTTGTACGCCTCGTAGCTGACATCAAATGCAAGATAACCCCAGCTGACTCCATATGCCGCTTTTACCGTCCACGGCGAAACTACGGGGCGAAATGCTTCACCCACATCCGATGTATAGGCCAAGTAGCGAGTCGATGCCATGAGGGCGGTTCTGATACGGCTTGCATAAGCAAGGTAACGTGCATTTGTCTCGATGGTATCCACATCACCATGTCTGAGTTGTGTTGACAATGATTCCTTTTCAACATTGTGTTCGGGCATTTTTTGGCGGGGGATTGTGTTAACAACCGAAGTGAAGAAAAAAGGAAAGAGAAAAAGATGATCAAAACTGTATTACAACGACGAGAGTGAAATGTTGATATGCTACTACTACTACAGTCACGATCCAGTGATCATCAATGATGATCGCCTTGCCATATCTGTCAACAACCTAGTTGGGATCCCTAGTTTTTTTTTTGTCACATGCATTGATTACATGATGAAAGGAATAGCACCCACATCATCATCCTATTGTTGATTGTTGGAGTCAGTGCGTCAAGTAATAGCAAAAGTTGATGGAAAAAGATACGCCATTCCTCCGCACAGACTAGCACTAAACACCTTTTCCCGCACTTTCCTGCTATTGTATCTACATACATATCTCTTTTCCCAATCATGAAAGGTACGACTTTATCTATATCAATATGATCATCCTATTGATCTACTTTTTCTAGTATTGATTCTCGGTGCTGGATACGGTACTCGTTTGCAACGCGACCTTAAGGCTTCCCCTGAACACGCTCATCTACTGGGCATTCCTAAAGCACTGTTACCATTGGGTGGCAGGGATGCTCTCATCACACATTGGCTTGACCTTTTCCGTGACCATGGCATTGACGTCTACGTGGTAACCAATGCGGCGTGCTATGACTTGTTTGTTGCGTGGGCCAAACGCCACGACTTGCCAGAAGATCATATTGTGAGCGACGGCACGTTGAGTAACGAGACAAGACTTGGAGCAGTACCTGATATTGCGTTTGGGATTCATCACTTTAATCTTGAGCAAGAAGAGGTGCTTGTGGTGGGAGGCGATACGTTGTTCCTCAAGGATTTCTCGTTGAAGGACTACTTGGCACAGGTGAGTAGCCAACAGGATGCATGTTTGGTGACAACCTACAAAGTATCGGATGATCAAGTTCACAAGTTTGGTATCGTGGAAACGGATGATCAAGGCATCATGACAAGCTTCCTGGAGAAACCCGATCCATCTTCAACCCCATCTCGTCTTGCATGTCCATGCTTTTATTTATTCGCACGTGATTCATTGCCTTTGCTTGACGAGTTTATTGAATCATGCCAAGGTCAACCCAAAGAAGTCTTTGATGCTACTGGCAAGTTTTTGGCTTATTTATATCCTCGTTTCACTGTCAAGACTTATCCCATCTCCGGTCGCATTGACGTTGGCGGTTTACAATCTTATCTCGATGCTGACAAGTACTTTACAAATTAGAAGTTCATTCTTCTCTAATAGACTTTTATTTGTGTGTGTGAATGACTTCTTATTTATATATACATAATGCTTTACTCTTCTTGTTCTTCTTCATCATCATCTTCTTCCTCTGGCAAATCGTATTCAAAAGCAACATCCCATCTTGATCCAGGGGCACGTGCACTGATATACTTGATGAATCGCATAACACCTTCATCTCGTAATACAAGTGATAATTCGTTTGCACCGGCAGTAAGTGTCAACAAGGCACCGTCTTCATCGGCGGCCTTGTATGTTGCAGGATCCTCATCTTCATCATGGGGTGCCATATAACATTCGTATCCACCACATTCACCCGATTCCCAGGCCTCTTCTGATGACGATGTCAAGGATAATGTCACATCCAATACAGCTTGACCGCGCGTGTTGGTAGTAGCCAATGTATAATCATGTCCAGGCCTGAATCGACGACCTGCTCCTCGACAACCTTGAGGTTTCACTTGACCCACCACAGCAAGCCATTGTCGAAATGCCTCACTTTCAAACTTGCTCTTTAGATCAGCGAATAGTTCAGCAGTGTTGTTCTTATTTTCAGCCTTGGAATCCACTTCGAGGAATCGGCATCGATGAGGTGCACCGTGAACAACCCATCCTTCACCTTTGCCAGTGCCGTGAGCAGCCATTTTACAAGGAGTGAATTGTTCAGCATCCGCCTTGGTAGTAGCTTCCTTGATCTTTGCATACAATTCCTTGCTAAGAATCTCCTTGCATTGCACAGCGGACTCATCCAAGAAACGATCACGTAATTGTTCAAGTACTTTCATGTCGAGATATTGTGGGTTCATCCATGTTGCCAAATCACGAATCGTTTCCTCTGTCAATCCCTCTTCTTCCACTTCAGCGGATGGATATCGCATAAAGTTGGCACTTGAATCGGCCTAATGTTCTATCGATGAATGATTTTGCCCTCTACCAAGAGATCTTGAAATAGTATACCTCTGACAATTGCTCCAAGGATGATTTTGCTTCACCCGCTTCACGATCCGCTTCATAACCAACCTCACCAGGTTGAGGAATATGAAACCATCCAGAAATACTTAATCTTGGCTTGCCAACAGGAACCACTTCTTCGACAGAATGGAATGAATGACCAGGTTGGACCGTAAACATGACAAATTGGTTCCATTGAGGAGGAATAATGACGGTAGGCTCAACAGCAGGGGTACCCTTTTCCACCACAGGATACAATTCCAATGCACCACCATTCTCCGGTTGCCATGGATCATCAGGGTCTGTCAAGTATAAAATGTAGGATACACGTCGTGTACCAATGACATCGTCGTGATTGAGCAAGTGACATCCCTCCTTGTAATTGTTGATGCTCATATCCATCTTGCTTCCAGACAAGGGTCCAGAGTCAGTAACAGAGGAAATAAAGTCGCGGAACTCTTGAGAATAGATAGCATTGCGTAACTCAAACAAGGAAGATAGCTTCTCAAGTTCATCTGAAGGAAGACCATCCAAATTGGCCAAGTCACCGGTTTGATGCACCTAGGCAACCCCCATGAGTATAGGTAACCTAGACAACCTATACACTACCCTTACCTTGTAAATATCGGTCTCCTTCAAAGTGAAATGCAAATTATCAAAAATCTCCTTGCGTACACGACGTAGCAGATCGTCATTCATGAGTGTCTCAATCTTGCAGTGCAAATAGGGCTTGGATTCCATAAAGGCCTTGCGGATCTCTGCACGCGATGCATCTTGAAGCAAGCCAGTGTGGAATTTGCTGGCAATGTCGACGGTGGTTTTTTGACGCTTGGCAACACTCTCCACATCATCCTCGCTAGGACGTCGAGCTTCGTTTGTTGTGGGTGACATTGATGTGGTGGAGTTGACAGGGACAAGAGAAGGAAAAAAAAAGTGAGCTGTTTCTTTTTTGACAATGCACGCATGATTTGTGGCTCAGATTGAATCTGTCACACATGAAGGAAAACTCTTGATGGATACAAGGACACTCTCCTCTTACTTATATCAATGGATGTGCACGAGATTATAGATTTAGTATATGTTGAAAGGGGAATAAAGGATATAAACATGTAGTCTAAAGCTGTCTGAAATGGAATGATGTACTATGATAATGATAATATTGAAGAAGGAACGTGCGAGTATCAAGGTGGTAGGGGAATCATGCACTCTTATTGCTGGTGGTCATCGTCATTATCGCCATCATCATCGAGAGTGAGCTTCTTGTCGAGATAGTCAGCCACATCTTCATGCATGGGTGGTTTTGCTGGTAGTGAACGCTGCTTGCTCGCGGTATCGACATACTCTCTCAATTCACGAATGACACATTCACAGAAAGCTGTTAGCGCCTTGTCGAGCTATGTTCCATCCATCAATATCCTGGTAGCTACGCTTCCCAAACCCCCATATTTACCGCTGTAAGCCCCTTTTCTGTTTTGCGAGCGATTTCAGAAGGCTCAAAGCCCTCAAAGGTTAATTCGAATCGGAATGAGCATGCCCTGGTAGAGAATAGCTGTCAATGAGCCATCATTCATTTTGCCATCCACAAAAGTACTTACGCAGCAAAGAATCGAAGGTTCTCAATGGCGCGATATGTACGTTTGGTATCCTTGTGAACCTTATTGATGAATCCAAAGGGACGTCGAGATCGTTTCACGATATTGTTGTATACATTGCATAAAACAATACCATCTCTATAATGTAAATTTAGTATACACTTATTCGTTATTCCTTGTCTTCGATAACACTTACGCAAGGGATGCCAGGAATCCATCAGGATCTTCATGTGGATCGGGTAAACACGTTGTGGATTGTTCATCTTCGGTGGTCTCGATATTGTTATCTTGCAGCAATGCATGATATCGACCTATCTTGGATAAAGAGCTTAGCATCATCGATTATTACTGTACTGCATGCACACACAACCCCCTAGCTAATCTCATATCCCCTCTATTGCGTCATGCCACTTACCCTGTGGGTCATTCTGAAACGTGCTACGCTGCAGCCACACCGGCACACCGCCACCTGATGAAGCATTTTGATTCTCCTCCCCCTCCTCCTCTTGATGATGATGTACAGCTGTCTTTAGCATGAGAGCTCGAATCTCTGGAGAAAATACAGCAGGTGGACTACCGATATGATGGGGTGGATTGAAGGCATACTTTTCAACTGTGGAAAGATAAGCATGAATAGCCTTTCGTTCTTGTTCCAGCATGCCAAATTCAGAGCTGTGATATGCATATTCGCCATGTTCATCATTCTCGCCATCTTTTCGAAATCGAGTCTCGAGCGTCTTTAAGGCATTCAATAAATCCAAAGCTGCATGTCGCACCTTGTTTTGTGCTGTGTCTGATAAATCGTGCCGTTGATGCATGTAATTTTTCACTGAGTTGATCATCTTGGTGACTGAATCCAATAATGGCAATATTTGAAATCCCTTATCCTCTTCTTCATTGCTGCTGGTGCTGCTACCATGACTACTGGAACTAGGATGTTGCCGAGGACCCGTCACCATGGCCCATTGTGTCAACGTATGCTGGATATCATCAAAGCATTCTTTCAAGAGCACATCCAAATCAGTTTCCACATCCAAATCCATCCAACTGGGAGGTGGTGCTTGAGGGGTCGGTAATTGATCCAAGTCGGCATCATCATCATCATCCTCATCGTTCATTCCTTCAGGTTCCTCAACCAAAGGTGTTGCGCTCTTTCTAAAGCCAAGCATACCAGTCCTATTATGGATGCATACACATGTACATGAGTTGAGTGATACGTATATAGTCAAGAGATACTCACTTGTTGACTTTGAGTTCTTTGGCTGCATAAAAGTTTTGAAGTCGTTCAATGGATCCTAGTGTTACAACCGAAGATCGTCGTTGTGCTATACATCCATATAGATTGCTCGTTTAGCCCCGCTTTTCTCGAGCAGTAATGCTGCCCCATCCCCTATTTCTGGTACCTGAACGGGCGAATCCTTTGGTCTGAATTCCATTAATCGGTTTCAGATAGCGTCGTCCAAATGGACTGCTTGCACGCACCACATTATCGGGTATGGGAGAGAATCCTCGGAAGCTATGCATATGAGGAGGCATACTCATGGGCCGTTGTCGACTGGTTGTAGCTGCCACCATCTCATCCTCATCGGGATAGCTGCTGGGACTCGGCGATTGATCTCGGGATGGCGGTGGTGACAAGTCGTTATCAGCATCGAGGGGATGGCCACCGGTCATTTTGAAACAAAGAGAAGGAAAGGAAAGGAAAAAGAGAGAAGAGTCGCAGTTGTGTGTGTGCCTCTATTGAATGAATGGGTTTTGTTGGTGCAACATGCTACTGCTGGGCTGGTGCAGTCTCCACGTGTCAACCATCTATAACTCTTCGTTACACATGCATGACACATGGATGTTTCATGCAACATGACTTGACTTGTAGACATTTTTATCTTATGGTTACCTTTTGGGCACACCTCAATTGTGAATAAACTATTACATGGGAAAGCAGCAATTTATTGATACAACTTGTCATTTCAATAACGACGCTTAAACACAATTTGAAGATCCTTTGGGCTAGTGACCAAGGACACACCTCCGGTATTCAATCGCTTCTTATGGATGGAGTCATCGGGAAGATGCCATTCGTATTTCCTCACTATGTTTTCAAGCAAAGTGTGAGAAAAGATACTACGCACACAATGGATGAAGGTCGTTTTGTTACTTACATAACATGGGCAACAGGACACGTTGTTCTGTCAAGCTAAAGTTCATACCGATGCATTGTCTAGCGCCGTTACTAGTAGACGAAGGGGGATAAATGAGCCATCTTACATAGGACACACCATTGATTATTTTACCTGAATGGCAACCAAGACATGCCGTTTCCTGCAAGTTGATCAGCTTCTCCACCGGGTATGAATCTCTCAGGCTTAAATTCTTCAGGATTGGACCAAATGTCAGGGCTGTGGTGCATCTCATGGATATCCACTGTTACGCGAGTGCCTTTGGGAATGAATGTTCCTGCGAGCTCTGTATCTTGTTGTGTGGTGCGAACTCCGATACCTGGTGCTGGAGGATGTATTCTGAGATTCTATTCAATGAGAGCCATTAGCGATAAAGCGATCTTACTTCTATTCCACCAATTTTTTTATACCTCTTTGATGATCATGTTGATGTATGTCATATCACGTGCTTCCTCTGCAGTGGGCACTATATTCTCAGGTGCTTCGCCTAATGTTTGGATTGCTTCTTGGCGAGCTTTGGCTTGCACATCCTAATGTTTTTATGCCCACCAGTCCTTAATCACAATAGCTCATGATGAATCGCACTAATGTATCTTACCTGGTTCACGGCTAATTCGTAGATCACTGTAGCCAAAGAATTGGCTGTTGTGTCATGGCCAGCAATAAAGAATACAACAACATTGCTCTACACAACACAAATCAATACCCACTTTTGAACCATTTTTCATCCTTATCACTTACACGAAGCTCTTCATTGGTAAGAACGCCTTCGCCTGAATTCTCAGCTTCGATCATCATTGTGAGTAGATCCTTTTCTCCATCTTTTTTCTCGGATGTGGTGGATGACTTGTTTTGCAGCGTCTTGCGTTTCTCAAGGATGATTTGATCAATCATACCAAGCAACTTGTCAGCTTCGGCATGCTTCTGCTTACGCGATGGGTTGAATGGAAGAAGCCAAGTATCCAAGCCCGGAAACACGAGGTATTTAATGTCAAAGGCGGAAGTCATGACCGTGTTGTAACGAGAAACCCATTCATTGTCTTTGTCTTCAACAGCATTGAAATCGAAATCTATCAACAGCGGCATGTTAGCATGAAATTTCACATAATACAGGGTTGCATTACTTACCAAATGCGGCTAATCCAAGTGCATCGAGCGTCCATCTTGTTGTATAGTTGTGGATTTCGATTGGGCCGTATTGCGATTCATCATCCATCACCTTGAATAGCTTCTCAGTGACTCGACCAAAAATGTTGATAGGCATTGATCGATGGAATGCAGGATTGGCCACCTAATGTTTATGTTAAAAGAACTGGATCCAATACCATGAGATGTAGACTATAGCTTATTACCTTGCGATGTGTCTTCCACTCGTGACCATTAAGGTTGACGATGTGTCGAGATCCAATGACACGACGAATAAGCTGGCCATCTTGGATTGCATTTTCAGTCTTTGGGAAAATGTCTAAAGAACACCATTAGAGCTGTATTGAAAATAGCCATAACTAGACCGATTACCTGTTTTGAGTAAAAACTTTTTGGCTGCGAGGGGGTCCACAATATGAACGGTCCAGCCGTCTTTGTCAAATCGCTATTCTGTAGTGAGTGATCTGCCATGTCGAAATGCAATGAAGGGACTTGTAGTAGTACTTACAACGTAGAGGCCACTCTTCGATCGCTTAACAGCGGGAAGTGTAAGCTCTTGAGCAATATCATTGATCGATTTACCGGCAACGACAGCTTTGATGTAATCGAAAAATCCAAGGTGGGGCAAATGCTTGAGTTGACGAGGCACTTGTGTGATGGATCTGAAAATGGCGTAGGTGCTGACCAAGGCCACAGCTGCAGCAATCGATGTCCGGTGCTTCTGAATAAGACGTTTTCCTTGCTCACCAGCAAAGAGAGGAACCACGTAGGTGTTGACGGTACTCGTGATCTGATCCATTGTGGAGATAGTAGTTTTTAATGTTTCACACTCTTTGGTACTCGCCTTTTATATTCATTTTTTTGGGATTACATGTGACACAATAATATCCGCGCGTTTCTCACTCGGCGGGATGCTTCCGGATCCACCGGACCTCGTTTTTACAGCTTTCATGGCATGTACCAGGTATTGATTAGGATGGATGAAAGCTAAAAATCTCGTCTCCTGATGCATATGTCTTTTTTATTGGAACCATGATCAAATCCATCATAAGATCACTAGTGAGAAGATATGAAATTGGATCGGCCTCTTGGCATGAATGATGAGAGCCAATCTGTGGTTTCGGCAGATAGATACCCCTAATCCTCATTCTATGGCAATATATTTTGGCGAGCCAATCGCATCACGCCTCGTCTTTAGATCGCATCACTATTATGACAGCAAAGCTGCACACTGCAATGCATATCATGCAAGAATAGTAAATTAAGTACCAGCATGTATAATTGGTATCACTTGAGCTCGGACGCCGTATGCCGGTGTTGTAAAAGTGAGTGGGGTTGAAACCAGGATAAAGATTGTAGACCATGGCATACCATCATTTGAGGAGGAGGGGACCTAGTTGACGAAAAGACATTTTTGTGAATGGCGTTTAGTTTTTGTTTTCTCCGCCTTATTGGATCATTGATCCATCCTCCTTGTATAGATTTGTTCCATATTCTACAAAACCATCATCGTCATCCAATCAAACCAGTCGCCTATTCATTTGACCGACAACGATGATTTAGTATGGCTACTCGGGTTATCAACCACCGACATCCTTACCAGCTATCATTGGCCATTTTACCCTATCCATATACCAAAATGAGCAAAAGGTTTACGTGGCAATGATACTCTTTTATCGTATATAGTATCTAACGCATCGGTAGTATCTAACGTATAAATGTGCGAGAGAAATGGGTAACAACTTTGAGCATTCCTCTATTGAAAGAAAAATAGAATATGGAATACGCAAATCTTGGAAAGACTGGTCTTCGTGTAAGTTAGCACAATGGATCATTCGAGCATACGGATAGGATGCTCACATTACTACCTATATTAGGTCTCACGCATTTGCCTTGGCTTCATGTCTTATGGTGATGCTCGCTGGAACGGCTGGGCAATGGACATTGAAGAATCGCTTGATTTGATCAAGAAAGCATACGATGCTGGTATCAACTTTTTCGATACTGCCAACGTATACTCCAATGGCAAAAGTGAGGAGATCCTTGGCAAGGCCATCAAACAATTCAACATGCCGCGTGATCGTATTGTTGTTGCCACCAAGGTGTACTTTCCTGTCAGAGAGGGATATGAAATGCCCAATCCACGAACCCAATTCAAGGATCCAGCACTTGTCAATCGCTGTGGTCTTTCGCGAAAACACGTCTTTGATGCATGCGATGCATCGCTCAAACGTTTGGGTCTGGATTATATTGACTTGTATCAGATCCATCGTTTTGATAAGGTAAAGTGCATTCGTACATGTTTCAACATCATTGATGCTGATACTATGTTGGGTCGCCTATGTAGAACACACCCATTGAAGAAACCATGGAAGCATTGCATGACTTGGTCAAATCTGGCAAGGTGCGCTATATTGGTGCCAGCAGCATGCACGCTTGGGAGTTCCAAAAAGCCAATCACATTGCTGAAAAGAATGGATGGACCAAGTTTATCAGTATGCAAAACCTGTACAACTTGTTGTATCGTGAAGAAGAACGCGAGGTGATTCCTTACTCGCTTGATGCTGGTATCGGTGGTATTCCATGGTCCCCCTTGGCATTTGGCGTATTAGCATGCAAGAACAGGAACACCGCACGTTCGCAAAATGATTTGGCTGTGGGTCTCTTGCAAATCAGAGAGTCCGACCAAAAGATCCTTGATCGCTTGGTGGAAGTCGCTGAAAAGAAAAAGGCTAGCCCTGCACAGGTACGTACATGAAAAACGATGCATTGATGATGATGGATCATGGTCAAGCTTACTTGGATCTACTACAATAGATTGCCCTTGCGTGGTTGCTTTCCAAGCCATTTGTCACAGCTCCAATTGTAGGTATCACTAAGGCCGAGTATTTGGATGATGCTGTTGGTGCGCTCAAGATTAATTTGACTGAGGATGAGTGCCAATATCTCGAAGAGCCATATGCTCCAAGACCCTTAATCCCAATGTGAACAAGTAATGGTGTACTTTACATAGTTCAATAAAAGGAACATGATCAAGATATCTATAGTAATCTCTTCCTATGAGGTGTTAGCTGTCAATAGTTCCATCTCCTCCTTACGTAGTGCAACCCTCTGCCATATGAATGCTTCATGCAACACGATGCATAAGTTATTGACATCCCATTTGATATCCTTCTTATAGCTACTATCTTAAGCAAGCCCTTGTTACAGTTATAAAAACAACACCATCACCATAATAGGATGATGCACGAGAAAAAGGGGTATATCATATTTATTGGCAGATCTTAATAGCGACGCTTAAACACAACTTGAAGATCCTTTGGGCTAGTGAGTATTGATAATCTTCCGGTGACCAATTTGTCTTTGTGAATAGAGTTCTCAGGAAGATGCCACTCATACTTTCTCACTATTTTTAAGGAAGGTAGTGTAAACAAAGATACAGAGTCCACATGGATGATGATACTTCATGTACTTACATAACATGGGCAAGAAGACACGTTGTTCTGTCAAGCTAAAGTTCATACCTATGCATTGTCTAGCGCCGTTACTAGTAGGTGAAGGGGGATAAATGAGCCATCTTACATATAACACGTCATTGATTATCTTACCCGAATGGCAACCAAGACATGCCCTTTTCTGCAAGTTGATCAGCTTCTCCACCGGGTATGAATCTCTCAGGCTTAAATTCTTCGGGGTTGGACCAAATGTCAGGGTTGTGGTGCATCTCGTGGATATCCACTGTTACGCGAGTGCCTTTAGGAATGAATGTTCCTGCGAGCTCTGTGTCTTTTTGTGTGGTGCGAGTTGCGGTGCCTGGTGCTGGAGGATGTATTCTGAGATTCTATTCAATAAGACCCATTAGTGATAAAGCGGTCTTACTTCTACCATCAATGCTTTTTTATACCTCTTTGATGATCATGTTGATGTACGCCATATCATGTGCTTGCTCTGCAGTGGGCACAATATTTTCAGGTGCTTCGCCTAATGTTTGGATTGCTTCTTGGCGAGCTTTGGCTTGCACATCCTAATGTTTTTATGCCCACCAGTCCTTAACCACAATAGCTCATGATGAATCGCACTACTGTATCTCACCTGGTTCACGGCTAATTCGTAGATCACCGTAGCCAAAGAGTCTGCTGCTGTTTCATGGCCAGCAATAAGGAATACGACAACATTGCTCTATACAACACAAATCAATACCATTTTTGACCCGATTTTTTTTCATCCTTTTCACTTACGCGAAGCTCTTGGTTGGTAAGAACGCCTTCGCCTGAATTCTCAGCTTCGATCATCATTGTAAGTAAATCCTTTTCTCCATCTTGTTTTTCGGTTGCGGTGAATGACTTGTTTTGCAGCGTCTTGCGTTTCTCAAGGATGATTTGATCGATCATGCCAAGCAACTTGTCAGCTTCGGCATGCTTCTGCTTACGCGATGGGTTGAATGGAAGAAGCCAAGTATCCAAACTCGGGAACACGAGGTATTTCATATCAAAAGCAGAAGTCGTGACCGTGTTGTAACGAGAAACCCATTCATTGTCTTTGTCTTGAACAGCATTGAAATCGAAATCTATCAACAGCGGCATGTTAGCATGAAATTTCACATAATACAGGGTTGCATTACTTACCAAATGCGGCTAATCCAAGTGCATCGAGCGCCCATCTTATTGTATAGTTGTGGATTTCGATTGGGCCGTATTGCGATTCATCATCCATCACCTTGAATAGCTTCTCAGTGACTCGACCAAAAATGTTGATAGGCATTGATCGATGGAATGCAGGATTGGCCACCTAATGTTTATGTTAAAAGAACTGGACCCAATGCCATGAGATGTAGACTGTAACTTATTACCTTGCGATGTGTCTTCCACTCATTACCACTAAGGTTAAAGATATGTCGAGGTCCAATGACACGACGAAAAAGCTGGCCATCTTGCATTGTATTTTCAGTCTTTGGGAAAATATCTAAAGAACACCATTAAAGCTGTATTGAAAATAGCCATAACTAGACCGATTACCTGTTTTGAGTAAAAACTTTTTGGCTGCGAGAGCGTCCACGATATGAACTGCCCAGCCGTCTTTGTCAAATCGCTATTCTGTAGTGAGTGATCTGCCATGTCGAAATGCAATGAAGGGACTTGTAGTACTTACAACATAGAGGCCACTCTTCGATCGCTTAACAGCGGGAAGTGTAAGCTCTTGAGCAATATCATTGATCGATTTACCGGCAACGACGGCTTTGATGTAATCGAAAAATCCAAGGTGGGGCAAATGCTTGAGTTGACGAGGCACTTGTGTGATGGATCTGAAAATGGCGTAGGTGCTGATCAAGGCCACAGCTGCAGCAATCGATGTCCGGTGCTTCTGAATAAGACGTTTTCCTTGCTCGCCAGCAAAGAGAGGAACCACGTAGGTGTTGACGGTACTCGTGATCTGATCCATTGTGGAGATGGTAGTCTCTAATGTTTCACACTCTTTGGCACTCGCGCTTTTATATTCATTTTTGGGGATTACATGTGACACAATAATATGCACGCGTTTCCGGCGGGATGCTTCCGGATCCATCGGATCTCATTTTAAATGGCATGTACCAGGTATTGCTTAGAATGGCTGAAAGCTAAACATTTCGTCCCCTGATGCATATGTCTTTTTATTGGTACCAGGATCAAATTCATCGTAAGATCACTAGTGAGAAGATATGAAATTGGATCGGCCTCTTGGCATGCATGATACTCTAATCCTCATTCTATGGAAACTATTTTGGTGAACAAGTCTCATCCCGCCTCGTCGTTAGATGCATCACTATTATGACAGCAAAGCTGCACACTGCAATGCAGGTATTACGCATTTGTTTTGGCTTCATGTCTTATGGTGATGCTCGCTGGAACGGTTGGGCAATGGACACTGAAGAATCGCTTGATTTGATCAAGAAAGCATACGATGCTGGTATCAACTTTTTCGATACTGCCAACGTATACTCCAATGGCAAAAGTGAGGAGATCCTTGGCAAGGCCATCAAACCCAATCCACGAACCCAATTCAAGGATCCAGCACTTGTCAATCGCTGTGGTCTTTCGCGAAAACACGTCTTTGATGCATGCGATGCATCGCTCAAACGTTTGGGTCTGGATTATATTGACTTGTATCAGATCCATCGTTTTGATAAGTGCATTCGTACAATTTTTATCATTGATACTGATATTGTGGGTCGCATACTTATGTAGAGCACACCCATTGAAGAAACCGTGGAGGCATTGCATGACTTGGTCAAATATGGCAAGGTGCGCTATATTGGTGCCAGCAGCATGCACGCTTGGGAGTTCCAAAAAGCCAATCACATTGCTGAAAAGAATGGATGGACCAAGTTTATCAGTATGCAAAACCTGTACAACTTGTTGTATCGTGAAGAAGAACGCGAGGTGATTCCTTACTCGCTTGATGCTGGTATCGGTGGTATCCCATGGTCCCCCTTGGCATTTGGCGTATTGGAATGCAAGAACAGGAACACGACACGTTCGCAAAATGACTTGGCTGTTGGTCTCTTGCAAATCAGAGAGTCCGACCAAAAGATCTTTGATCGCTTGGTGGAAGTTGCTGAAAGGAAAAAGGCTAGCCCTGCACAGGTACGTGCATAAAAATGATGCGTTGATGATGATGGATCATGGTCAAGATTGCTTGGATCTACTACAATAGATTGCCCTTGCATGGTTGCTTTCCAAGTCATTTGTCACAGCTCCAATTGTAGGTATCACTAAGGCCGAGTATTTGGATGATGCTGTTGGTGCACTCAAGATTAATTTGACTGAGGATGAGTGCCAATACCTCGAAGAGTCATATGCTTCCAGGCCCTTGATCCCAATGTGAGCAAGTAATGGTGTACTTTATATAGTTCAATAAAAGGAACATGATCAAGATATCTATAGTAATCTCTTTCCTATGAGGTGTTAGCTGTCAATAGTTCCATCTCCTCCTTCCGTAATGCAACCCTCTGCCATATGGGTGCGTCATGCAACACGATGCATAAGTTATTGACATCCCATTTGATATCCTTATTATAGCTACTACCTTAAGCAAGCCCTTGTTACAGTTATAAAAACAACACCATCACCATAATAGCATGATGCATGAAAAACGGGGCATATCATATTTATTGGCATATCTTAATAGCGACGCTTAAACACAACTTGAAGATCCTTTGGGCTAGTGACTAATGATAATCCTCCGGTAACCAATCTGTCTTTGTGAATAGAGTTCTCTGGAAGATGCCACTCGTATTTTCTCACTATTTTTAAGGAAGGTGGTGTAAACAAAGATACAGAGTCCATAAGGATGATGATTTTTTATGTACTTACATAACATGGGCAACAAGACACGCTGTTCTGTCAAGCTAAAGTTCATACCTAGGCATTGTCTAGCGCCGTTACTAGGGAGAAGAAGATGAATAAGTCATACAAGCATATGATACATGAGGACATTTTGAACCTTACCTGAATGTCAACCAAGCTATGCCTCTTCTTGCAAGTTGCTCAGCTTCTCCGCCGGATGCAAATCTTTCAGGTTTGAATTCTTCAGGGTTGGACCATATGTTGGGGTTATGGTGCATCTCATGAATGTCCAAGACCACGGGAGTGCCTTTGGGGATAAATTCTCCTGCGAGCTCTGTGTCTTCTTGCGTGATACGAGTTGCGGTACCTGGTGCTGGAGGATGTATTCTGAGATTCTATTCAATAAGAGGCATTAGTGATAAAGCGGGACTTACTCCTACCACCAATGCTTTTTATACCTCTTTGATGATCATGTTGATGTATGTCATATCACGTGTTTGTTCGGCAGTGGGCACTATATTCTCAGGTGCTTCGCCCAGTGTTCGAATTGCCTCTTGGCGAGCTTTGGTTTGCACATCCTAGCATACATCTCGTTAGCCTCATCATAATACTACTAGCTCACGCCATCACAATACCCTACCTGATTCACGGCTAACTCGTAGATCAACGTGGCCAAAGCATTTGCTGTTGTGTCGTGACCAGCGATAAGAAACACGACAACATTATTCTATATGATAGAAATGAATATCGTTTACAAAAGAAAGCTGCCATCCTTTTCACTTACACGAAGCTCTTGGTTGGTAAGGACGCCTTCGCCTGAATTCTCAGCTTCGATCATCATTGTGAGCAAATCCTTTTCTTCATCTTGTTTCTCGGCTGTGGTGGATGACTTGTTTTGCAGAGTCTTGCGTTTCTCAAGGATGATTTGATCGATCATACCAAGCAACTTGTCAGCTTCGGCATGCTTGTGCTTACGTGATGGGTTGAATGGAAGAAGCCAAGTATCCAAGCTCGGGAACACGAGATAGGGAACTTCAAAGGCGGAAGTCATGACCGTGTTGTAACGAGAAACCCATTCATTGTCGTTGTCTTGAATAGCATTAAAATCGAAATCTACCAGCAGCGGCATCTTAGCATGAATTTTCATGTAACACGTGGTTGCAATTACTTACCAAATGCGAACAAGCCAAGGGCATCAAGGGTCCATCTTGTCATTTGACTATGGACTTCGATTGGGCCGGATTGCAATTGATCATCCATCACCTTGAACAACCTGTGGGTGACTTGACCGAAAATGTTGATAGGCATCGCTCGATGGAATGCAGGATTAGCCACCTAATTTTTATGTTAGGAGAACTGGATACGATGGCGTGATAGCTTGTTACCTTGCGATGAGTCTTCCATTCGTGACCATTGAGAATGGCAATATGTCGCGTTCCCATGACACGACCAATAAGCTGGCCGTCTTGTACTGCATGTTCAGTCTTAGGGAAGATGTCTAATCTATTATCAGCGCTCTGTGTCCTTAGTAACACCAACCGGATCATTTACCTATTTTGAATAGGAACTTTTTGGCTGCTCCAGGATCGACAATGTGCACTGACCAACCGTCTCTGTCGAATCGCTATTTTGTGGTGAGTGATTTGCCATGTCGAAATGCAATTGAATGGACTACTTACAACATAGAGACCACTCTTGGATTGCATGGCAATAGGGATTGTAAGTTCATGAGCGATATCACCGGTCGTTTTACCGGCAACGACAGCTTTGATGTAATCGAAAAATCCAAGGTGGGGCAAATGCTTGAGTTGATGAGGCACTTGTGTGACGGATCTGAAAATGGCGTAGGTGCTGACCAAGGCTACAGCTGCAGCAATCGATGTCCGGTGTTGCTGAATAAGACGCTTTCCTTGCTCACCAGCAAAGAGAGGAACCACGTAGGTGTTGACGGTACTCGTGATCTGATCCATTGTTGTGGAAATAGTTAATGTTCCGGATTCTGGGACACTCGCGCTTTTATATTCATTTTTGGGTGGCGCTCATGTGACACAACGACATACCTATCAACCGCAGCAAGTCTTCCCGGATATGATCACTCACTGCTGCGGCAGCTTTTGACGGCCACTTTACCATGCCTAGACAGCCTTAATATAGCATGTAAACCAGGTATTGATTAGAACGCCGATAGTAACTGCACAACACACTTTTCTGATTCATGCGTATGCCTTGTTGTTACTGCTGGCGACATCATAGATTGTTTGTGAAGAGTCGTTTGTGTATACAGGGAAGGAGTCTTAGCGGTCCACTCGCATCACGCGCTTGTCGATAGAGAGTATTAGTCTTTTAACATGGCAATGCATATTATGTAATAAAAATAAGGAATTGATACATAAACCGCAGCAACTGAGTCGGGCCGTAGTAGAAAATGGTGCATGTCAAGTGTCTTAATTTCAAGTTCTTCCCACACTCGGCTTCTAGTCTCTTCTTCAAACAAGTACCACGTGCAAACGATTGTCCCACTTCAACCCATCATCTCATTCCTATAGCCGCTTTGATCCAAAAGTCTTTGACTGAATGGCGACTCCATGGCGCGTGCATAGCCTTCTTGTCACTCTACTACAACACACGCGTCTCTTGATACAACACGCTCTCGTACGTTTGTCTTTACTCCATTACCCTAAACGCGCCTTTCTTTACTTGCAGCAACTTGCCTTACAGCCCTTTTTTTAAGTGAACAGCAGATAGCCGTTGTATAGATGCAGCTTTATTTACGTGTAGCAACGTGTTTTAATAAATACGGATGGAATCCACTTTGGCTGGTGGCAACATTGTGAAATCTGGGGTTGCCCACCTCGATAGTGGAACTTGCACACATGATTCCTTTGACCCCGCCGAGCAACATTATTCTCTTGAGACTCCTCGTTTGATTATGAAATCTTGAGATACAGGCACCTTTATGTTTTACATATGCCGTAAGCGTGTTGGGGTTGCTTTCTCCTAATGGATGGTGTGATGACTACATGAATGGAACGATGAAGAGCCGAGTGAAATGGCACGTGGTCGCTACGCACGCACGTTCTTGACAGGTAGCTGCACAAATGGATGGTGATGTGATTGTCTTTTGTGAAGGTACATAAGTGAGCAACGTCCAATAATGAAGGTGCGTCAAGTTATGTGTATGGCAATAATGGCTCCGTAACAGTAGGAGAAGGTTGAGCTGCATAAACCAATTTGTAGTATATGTAAACCAAGCAACCAATTCAACGATGGATCACTCGTCCTGAAATCAATGGAGGGATCACTTCACTTTTTCTCTGAGGATCATTTCAACTCCTCCTTATTGTATCACAGAAGCCATATACTTCATAGCTACCTCGCTAGGCGGATATGAAAAGTTGGATTAGGAGGCATATTGTATTGCAGCCCGAATGGAGGGTGGGTATAACGGTTTCTTTTCTTGTAAAGTTACCTTGGGAAGTGTGAGATCGAGAGGCTTACCCATTGAGGATATGAGATAGCAAGGTGGCGATTTCCATCATCCAACATGGTACCATCCAAATTACTTGCTGCTTGAGGAAGTGTAAGCGTTCGCTTTAAAAGAGAAGTCGTTAGGATGTTGATAGTAGGTAAGCATAGCACACAAGTGTGAATTTTCCCCGCTATCACAGCTCCGGCATGGTGGTGATATAACAGCTTTCTTGTTACCAGCACCTATACATCATGCATCATACTATGGACAATGTTCACGATTGGATGTTGGATGAAGCCTATGCAGAAGATGAGAATTATTTTCGTCAAAGATTTGGTATCCGTATAAGCGTCCGGAGATATAGGATTGCTGCCGTAAGATGGTATGCATAAATAGCATTATTGTCCTATTGCCTCTATGCAATATTATCACATCTATTTTTGGTTCTATGTCCCCCTGAAATTTCGTACGAAGAGACGTGAGCCTCCTGTTTGGACGATGTGGGTGTGCTTATCTAGAGAAAAGACAACGAAACTAAGATTGGACAATAACCTATGCTAGGATACAAATACCCTTTTTTCGATGTTCTTCATTATTAGTTTCGCTTATCTCCTGCCTTGTACAAAAGGAAGATACCAAAGGGATTGCGTTAGACAACAAAATTGACGGCAAACATGACGAAAACGAGAAAACAGCGAAATGCCATGAAAACATATCACGTGATCGATCTCCAGAAGAAAGATAAAAGATTAAACAACCAATTGAATGGCTGTTTTCATTGATTCCATCCGGGCTCGATCCGGAGACCTCCTGTGTGTTAGACAGGTGTGATAACCAACTACACCATGGAATCCTGTTTTCTGATGTTTTATCGAGGTACAAGTTCCTATATAAGCAAAACACCTTCCAAATGCGAAAAATTCGCAGGTCGTCGTAGCAAGATGCAAAAAATTGCATTGTGCAGCGGAGCATCTACCCGTTCCAGTGGTAAAGTCAATGCAGCGTTATGGAAGGTCAATAACTAGCAATTTATGGGAAAAGGTATTTTGGTCGGAATGGGTGCCAAATGGTGATGTCTTCATCTGCAATGGACCCCCGAGTGAATTCCAACTCAGAAGCAGGCAAAATCAGTCTTGGAATGTGGTGTGTGTGTGTGTATGAAAAGTACAAAAAGGATAATCAAAGAAATGCAGCGAGGATTTTGATAGCTTATCTTTATTACCATGCCTCTACTTGAGCTATTCGTATTGAGTTGGGAATGACAATGAATGTGGAATATGCTCTATGTGGGCTGTGGGCATGTATTTCATCTTTCATGTATGAATGCCACAAGCTTTGCAATTTTTAACACGTTGGACTGATTCCAACACTGGCCGAAAGCACCCATCACGAACACACCGTTGGTAAGCTTTGACATTGATTCGTGTAGACATTATCGTGCAAGAGCTGTGGTGCACATGTATATCAAATGACACTGAGATTATCGATTAAACATTATCCATCATAACAAGGCATCATGATCCAATGCGACTACATTTACATGCATCATCACGCACATCCTTTTCATCGTTCTATACCAGCATACTATACACCCGATACTAGAATTAAGATATAAAAGCATTGGAGCACTGTATTCAGAACAAACGTCAACCTCAAAGCGATCTATCTTTGTGTTCCCTTGTTTCTAATCATTTCACCCTGTTCACCACAAGACACAAGAGCTGTTTTGGCGATTGTGCACTTGAGAAGTTATCTTCCTTTGTCGACAAGATTAGAAGGCGAAATTGCAGGTTGCTGCGTATACAGGAATATGGCCTTCTTTTAGCTAGCCCTCAGCACTATTAATATACCATCCCACTTTTTTGTAAGGATCATCTGAAACACCTCACACTATATGTATGATGCAACGAATGGAAGGAAATGTATTTGGATTGCTGGTACTATGATAGATCAAAAGCATTTACTGAAAGTATATGGGAAATCTTGGGTCTATATAGCTATCATTTGGGATACATTCTTGTTGGTGTGTGTGTATAAGGACTAAGGAGTCTACTTGCTTGTTGGATATAGTGATTGATGGTCATCAGTGACTAGTGGCGACATTGCTTGTTGAAAGCCAAGTCCGATCGTGGCATGATCAAAGTCCCCGGCTGCTGTAAGCTGTCGTGGCTTACCATTGTTTCTTTTTCTCCACACACATCATGTCTGAAGGTTTGGGCAACTTTAATGAACAAGACCAGCGTGAATTGGCTCAGGTATGTTCAACAACAGTATTCTTCGTGCTGTAGCTTTGAACCTTGATGGGCTGATTCCTCTTTTTTTATTTTAGTTTCTCGAAGGTGAAAACGCCAAAGCTCGCGTTCAACAAACTGTGCACACCTTGACCGATGGATGCTGGGTAGGATGATATACACATACATACGATGGATGGGAGTATGAATATGCTAATATGTTGCTGCCATGTGATATAGGACAAGTGCATCAGCAAAGTCAACAACAAGCTCGATCGCAGCGAAGAAGCTTGCTTGGCCAACTGTGTGGAGCGTTTTCTCGATACTAGCATGTTTATTGTCAAGCGCTTGGAGAGCTTACGTGGTGCTGGTGGCATGTAATAGTAGAATGACATCCTATTAGTATCATCTCTATTGCATCAGCAATCCAACTTTTGTACACCTGTTATAAAGCGAGGATGATTACGTGTTATCACAATGTATGGGTTGAATCTGGAATGGCGAGCGAGAGATATTGTGTACAATGGTTTCAAAAAAGTTGGCAGATGGGGATCCTTGATCTTTGAAAGGAGTATCTTGGAGAGCCATCACTTACGGCTGTTCACGATCCCACTTTCGTTATTCCTTCTCCTTATCACGTTTGGATAGAATTGAGTACTCGTTGCAATAGCATTTATTTATTCCATACATATAGACCATCCATCCACCAAAGCCGATGTCTAAACCAACACTGAAGCAGTTTGTGAGAGTCATGGTTACCATATTACTCCTACTCCCAACGAGAACAATGCTGCTTCAACCAACCATAATTCATCGGCATAGTTTTCTTTTATCTGATGCTTACTGTTGGAGTGCTACATGTTTACGTCAAGGCCAAAGCCATCCTCGATATGATCACGCGCTTCCATTGTATGCATTGTGTGAAGGCATACGTAAACGAGTCAACGACGTCAATAGCCACCCATTTACCTTGCTCCCGGAAAATAATCACGCATGTACACCAACATGTAGTCGCTGAATTACCGTTTTTGATATGTATCCCTGATACCTTGATGCTATTAGGGGTGGGGCGACATCTAGGATGTGGTCCATAGCAACCACAGGGAGAATTGCGGGTGGTGTTTGTCAGCCTTCTCCTCCGCGTCGTTATCATCATTCTCTACCTATCGCTATTGACCATGGTTGGAATTGGGGAACAAAGGCTTGTATGAAGCCTGTGTAGCATAGTATATAGAGCATAGGAAGATCCTGCAAATGTATCCAAAGTTCAGCATATCCGATGCAAGTGACTTGAGGATGTGAAAGACAAAAATTGGTGTGGCAGATAACCTCATGATGCATATATATGATCGATGAGGAGGACGAGGAAATGAGAGGGAAAACATGGTTTGGAGCAGGAAGAAGACGATGTTGTTTACGGCTAGGCCTGGCCGATAAATATGTATTGCTCTTGTTCTTACAGAGTCAATGTATTTACCCTCTTGCAGTATGTTGAATCATCTATTGCCTTTTTCTTTGTCCTTGTAATAGCAAGGTTCCACCGACAGCGCATACGATTTATCCAAGTGGGATAGCACATACCATAAAGGCTTGGTAGGAGAACGACTCAATAAGGATCTCCGGAGCTGGTGTAACAATGCACAATGCCGATCATCATCGAATGAACAAGATATCGTCTTTGCTGACAGCAGCGATCATTCCTTGTGAAAAGAAGTTGTTGTATACGTTATTTGGCATGGGTGTTGTCTTTCTTACTTCTTTGATTAAAGCAATTGCGGATGACTAAAGGATGAGTCAGCTAGGATAAGATACTGCATGGTATTTACTACGCTAAAATGTTGATACACATGCATTACAAAGTGGTCGTTTGTTATACGAAGGGGAGTGTTGTGTAATGAAAGGCGTCTAACCAATATGATCTAGGCGCTGTTTGCAGCCAAATGAACGAGCGGCTCTCTTTATGCTGCTGGCACGCGTAAATGATGATTTTGTCAGTCCGCCATGGGAAGCAGTGTGTTCTTTTTCCGCTTTATCCCGTTAGAAGCACTTTACGATGCCTGCAGAAGAAAAGAATAAGGTCATTTACGTCTCTCACCCATCAGGATCAACTGCCGAGATTGCACTCTATGGTATAAACATTCTATTTGAACGCATGTCATTTGTACTGGGTTGGTTTATTCATTGCTTCGTCATAGGTGCTACTGTTACAAGCTGGAAGACGCGTGGTGTTGAGCGCTTGTTTGTAAGGTAAAGGATGCATCAAGGAACAAGGCAATGATAACTAACACTTCCCCATAGCCAAAAGGCTATTCGTGATGGTTCCAAGGCTATTCGTGGTGGTATCCCTCTTGTTTTCCCCATCTTTGGCACCAAAGAGAATATCTCTCTTCCCCAGCACGGTATGATTGCGTTTTGCTGCATGATGTTGATTTGGATTCTGATATTCCTAATGTTGTATATAGGTTTTGCTCGTAACTCTTACTGGGAATACCTCGGATTGATTGCCGATAACGATGAGGTTACAGTGCGATTTGGTAATACAAGAGCGTTGAATTTACACGAGCGAGACTTGTTCATTTACCTTTTTGATATTAGCATTGAAAGACACTGCACTCGAAAAGACACTTCGTGATGGTTGGCCACATTCATTCCGCTTGACGTATACGGTGACCTTGACTGCCGATTCATTGAAGACCGCATTAATGGTCAAGAACGAGGATCAAGATACTTTCGAGTTCAATACTCTGCTACATACATATCTCAATGCACCTGTAAGTCAACATTGTGGTGTATGAAAAGGAACGTTTATTGACATAGAGTGATGCAGGACATTAGCAAGGTTTCAGTCAAAGGTCTGGCAGGATTGACCTATGTCGATAAAGTGCAAAATGGTGCAAAGGCTACGGAGTCCCGTGATGAGGTTACTGTGTCATCCGAAGTGGATCGTATTTATTGTGATGCCCCCAACAAGCTTCAAGTCAATTTTGGTGGATCCAATGTAGTCGACATTGAAAAGTTCGGTCTCAAGGATACAGGTATGTTGCCAAGAAAAGGGTGTCCATAGAGGAAGACTAATAACGCATGCTCCTAGTTGTCTGGAATCCCTGGGTTGATAAGGCAAAGGCTATGGGTGATTTTGGAGATGAAGAGTTCCATAACATGATCTGCGTTGAAGTGGGCTCAGTTGCTGATTGGGTCAAACTCGGTGGTGGTGAGACTTGGACTGGTGGACAAGTCCTTAGTGTCTTGTAGCGAGTGTGCGATTCATTCAATGATGCGTTTTCAATAAAACCATAATTTATTTTCCCAAATCTCCTAGTTTCAATCCTCTTTCTCTAGCTGTTGCTGCTTTTCTGCATTTGCGACGGCTTCAGCAAGATTAGCGGTTTTATCGGTCTCATTTGATAAACGTTGACCTATCATCAGGGTGTGAATAACAACCATGGTCGATCATCTTGTACGTATGTGCCCCTCTCGACTTACGAATGAGTTCAAGCACAGCTTTTTGAGTACGTCTGTCCAATCGTTCAAGTTTCTTCTCGACGTCGCGTTTAAGATCCCAATTCGGTTTTTTGGGTTGTAGGTTGAAAAGATCCTGAGGGTTACATAGGTGAGTTGGGTGCATTGATCCTTTACATATACCCTCAAATGATCCATACATACCACTTCCTCTTTTTCCTTCACAGCAGCTTCTGCAAGGACATCCTTTGTAAAGCTCTTCGTTTCAGATTCAACGGTTTCTCCCACATCATCAGGAGTGGCGATATTGACGTGCTGCTTGAGATTCTCGTCATTGGGTGTATAGCTTCGGAATGCAAGTGTCCTATTCCCTCCATGGTCAGTAAGCCGTAAGCAGAAACCATGCGAGTCTGTAAATACCTTTCTGATTTGTTGTCTCCATCGACTTTGCGTTTACGAAGAGCTGACAATCGTTCTTTTCGTTTTCGTGCTTCTTCCTCCATCGGATCTGTACTGGGTCAAAAAGAGTGCGTTACCCTCAGCGGATGACTTGGTCTCCTTTCCCGATACGATTTTGATCGCCGTGTCTGCCATTTCCTATGTTTGTCATGGGCATCATCAAAGAGCTACTTGCATTCTTAGAGAAATAGCTGTATGAGCAATTCTTTATGTATGAGATAAATCGCTATTGCAAAAGAGACATTGTTGAATCAAGGGAATTCTATTGCGTACACATGGTTTGGAGACATCCACTTCAAATGTTAAATACAAAACTATTATTGGATCCAGTTGTGCCATTTTATCTGTTACGAGCTGGTGGGAACTTGAAATTATGTCCATCCTTCCATGCTTTTACCGCAATCCCATTCTCGAGCCTGTGCTGCTCGTAGTTTTCGGGCAGCATTCGCCTCACGTTCCCTCCTATCATAACATGGTAAGTAGACATGGATGATATTGCACGCTGCAAGCATCATACCGAATTTCTTCCTGTATATCGTATGCTTCAGCTGTCGCTGACTCGTTGCTTTGAGGTTGGCTATTGATTGTTTCTACTTCCTCAGTCTCCAAGGCCTAGAATGATAAACATTGGTCCACTGACAAGGGTATTGAATTGAATAGGACTCACCTTTTGCCTCATGTCTGCTGCGTTGTTGTTTGCATCAACGCTTTCGATTCGAAGATTCAGCATTTGTTCATCCAATGCCTACATAGATTGTATGTCAACATGTCATTATCGACCATGCCCTTTGTGAACACGTACACTTTGTCTTGTTTCATGTGGATTGCTTCGGTAATCATCATACTCATGATTTGATACTGGAATTTGTTCATGTGGTGCCTTTCCTGAGCTAGGGGGCTGCTGCTGCTGCTGCTGCTGCTCACATGTTGAGTTGGATGATGTATTTTGTGGGCTTGATGTAATAGGCGGTGCCGATTGCATTGCTTGGGTACTAGTTGGAGACGAACTCTCACTTTCATGTTGTCGTGGTGGCGGTGGTGGTGGTGGTGGCGACGAGCTCTTTTGTTCAGTCGGCTTCTTGCTCTTGAGAGCAATAGCATTCCAAGGCCGAGATATTAACGGCGAGCTTGCAACGTTGCGTTTGTCAGATCGGTAGTTGCTTCTCTTCCATCCAGTGGAGTTATACGTCGGTGAGCTAGTCCACCTATTGTTGTCATTGTGTTGTGGTTGCTGATTGTCGGACGCCGGATGAAGATCCCGAGATGCTTGTAGAGCAGCAGTATATCGAGACACATTTTGGCCTTCATCAGCCCTTCTGCGATCTGTGTCTGTGGCCCATCGTGAATCTAAAGTAGAAGACATGTCGTTGTTTGCTGGGGCAGTGATAGTGTTTCACCCCCCTATAAATGCGCTGCATGACCAATTATCCCCCGCCATTGGGATTTGTTGCCATGACAACGAGTAGCCAATGTTCCCTCGTCAATGACAACAGGCATTGTATTATTACATCTCTATAAATCCATGCTTTTTAATTTACAAAGGTAACATTGTCGGTAGGGGTAGAAACAATCTATGTGAGAGAGGGGTGGGACGTAAGATGGATAAAGGAGCATGGGAACGTATAGATACAGAATAGGATAGGAATTAGTTGTTCTTGTCGCTCGAGTCGTCAGCAGCAGCCTTCAATGCTTCTGCCCAAGCGTTTTCAGCTTCTTCTTGCGCAACATCGCCAAAACAAATCTTGAAAACGTCATCATAGTAATCCACCGGCACACCATTCATTCCTTCTTTGATATGATCTGGAAGCTCCTCCCAATCAGGCAAATTATCCTTGGGGAAAAGAATGGTATGAACATTGGAACGCTTTGCAGCGATCGTCTTCTCTTTGAGGCCACCAATCTTCAATACTTTGCCTGTCACAGTGAGCTCGCCTGTCATGGCAATATCAGGGTTCACGGCCTTGTTGAGTGCGAGAGAGAGAAGCGAAGTAACCATAGTGACACCAGCAGAGGGTCCTAAAAATATGCATTAGTACTCGCTAAAATCCTAAACCTATCCCCCTTTGTAAACGAACCATCTTTAGGCACGGCACCAGCAGGGCAATGTAAATGAACTTGGGCCTTGTCAAAGAACTTATTCTTGGGATATCGGACAGCCATCAATGACTTTGCAAACGTATACGCGATGCTGGTAGATTCTTTCATGACATCTCCAAGTTGACCAGTCTTTGATAATGAAGGAGTCGACTTTGGTTTCAAGGATGATTCAAGAACAGATTCAATATATAAAGAAGATCCACCTAGATAATGGTTGTCAATAAAAACTCACAATAGTTGATCCTTGTATCGCTTAACTTACCCATACTAGTCCATGCCAATCCCATAATCACACCTGGAGGTGGTCTTTCGTAAATGCGATCGGATTGGAAAATGGGGGGTCCAACATAATCCTTGAGATTCTCGGCTGTGATATCAAGTTTGATGTCTTCAGGGATCTCCAATGGTTTCCTCTCTTCAGCATCCTCCGTTGTTGTTGTTGTTGATGGTTCTTTTCTATCATCTGCAACCTTTTGGACGACTTGATAACCAGCTTTGCGGAAGATCTTGTCAATGTGCTTCTTCAAATTTCTGACACCACTTTCGCGGCAATAGTTCTTGATCAATGTATCCACAGCTTCGGGTGTCAGGTTAACATTGGCATTCTGTAACCCTGAAGCCTCCTTTGCTGTTGGTGCCAAGTACTTTGATGCAATAGCAGCCTTCTCTTCTGCGACATAGCCTGACAGCTGGATAATCTCCATTCGATCCAAGAGGGGTCCAGGAATAGTGTCGAGTACATTGGCTGTGCATACAAACAACACCTTTGAAAGGTCAACCGGAACATCCATATAGTGGTCCAAGAAGCTGCCGTTTTGCTCAGGATCAAGGAGTTCCAAAAGTGCTGAAGAAGGATCGCCTTGATGTCCACGTCCAATTTTGTCGACTTCGTCAATAAGAATCAAAGGGTTCTCAGTCTTGACCTTTTTGAGTGCTTGAATGACCTTGCCAGGCATAGCACCAACATACGTTCTTCGGTGTCCTTTGATCTCTGCCACATCCGTCAAACCTCCAACTGAAAAGCGATAGAACTCTCGATCGAGGGCACGAGCAATACTCTTGCCAATGGACGTTTTGCCAACACCAGGTGGACCAGCCAAACATAAAATCTTTCCTTCCACAGTACCACGAAGCTTTCCAACAGCAATGAATTCAAGGATCCGGTCCTTGACGTCTTGTAATCCATAATGGTCTTCATCAAGAATACCTCGTGCATGGAAAATGTTGTAATTTTCACGAGAACGTTGACCCCATGGAACTTGGGTAAGCCAATCAAGATAATTTCGCGTAACATTGAATTCTGATGCAGCAGGTTCAAGATGGGCAAGTTTGTTGATTTCCTGTATAAAAATTACCATCGAGATTAATCATGATGGATCATTCACAAACTCATATCAAAGATTCTTACCTCATCAAAGACCTTTCTTACTGCTTCCGGCATCACAAGCTTCGATGCTTTTTCTTTGAATCCTTCCACAAGCTTATCCTTGCCATCGCTTTCAAGACCAAGCTCCTTCTTGATACCCTTCAATTGCTCCATCAAGTAATACTCTCGTTGTCGCTTGGCAATCTTGTTCTCGACATCCTTGGATATCTTGTTTTGAAGTTGGGCATTCATGAGCTCCTTCTTCAATACGATAAGGGCCTTTTGCAAACGATCTTGGACATTCAAAGTCTCCATAACTTCTTGCAATTCAAGGGGTTCACCGGTTGAAACAGCTGCAGCAAAATCGGCTAGCTTGGCAGGTTCTTCAAATACATTGCCGGCAGATTGAGACATTGAGAAACTAGCGATCTGGTCACGGAAGAGTGGGTTGAGGGAAGCAATCTCCTTGAATACGGATACGATTTCAGAGGTAACTGCTCGGATAACAGGATCCTTTTTGTCATAGGTGGAATCCAACATGTTCTCAACGTTGACCAAGGAAACAGAATGCTCGTTCGCCAAGAATGATGTAGCATATTGCGAGTCTTTGCTTTCTTCAACAACCTCGTGTTCACCTTTTGATATATAAATTGGATTAGTATAAATGTGATATCAAGAACCTAGCGAATAAACTTACTCGTTTCCTTTGTAGCAAGCTCTTGTGTCTCGGTCTCAGATTTAACATTCTCCACCTTGTTGTCATGCTCTTCCACCTTTGCCTCTATGGCTCCCTTTCCTTTGGTGTTGATCAACTCGGTGATTTCAATTCGACGATGAGGATACAAGACAGCCGTTAATCCACCATCCTCGTCCTTATTCTTTGAGCCATTATTCGCTGGAAATACGCTGGTGATTTGAGCGAATACGCCGACTTTGTGAACTTGGTCGAGATTGGTGATGGTGTCGACATCGACATTTTCATCTTTGAGCAAAAAGGCACCGACATAAGGCTGACCTCGCTTAAGAAGATCCTTGATGGCACCTGTGACATTGGGGTCATTGATAACGACAGCTTTATAGAATCCAGGGAACAAAGGTCGTCGAGCAATGGGTAGTGCGAGCACTTGTGGATATACTTCAGGAACGGATGGTTTCTGTAGCTGATTGTTGTCGCTTGAATTGAATAAATGCTTGGAGGATTTGTCATCATTGTCGCCGTTGTTGCCGTTTTCACCGCTGGATGAAGAGGATGAACCAATCCCGGAACCATTCTCTGCCGAAGAGCCGTCGCTGGCAGGATCCCTCTCTCTAAGGTGGAGTGTGCTGATATGCCGCTTCAAGGAACTCGTGCTTCGAATAGGTTGCAAACCGACCAACAATGAACCCGTCTTCCGAGATTGGAGTGATTCAACTGTGCTCTGCGATCCCCAAATCGTTATCGATGCTGACGTGCTGGTTGACGAAAATGCTCGTTTCGCTTGAGGCGCCTGTGAATGCAATTGTGACGCAATGGCCCGGTTCAATTGAGAACGCGTGATCTTTTTGGAGACGTGGACAAGGATAGAATGGTTCATGCTGCGAGAATGGGCCGAGATCTTTGAACGACTGACAAGGAACAAGCAAGAACAGTAGCAGCTGCGATTCATCATCTACTACTACCCTGGTTGGCGTCCAGCCAGCATAACCAAACTCCGCGCTGTCAAATGGATTGGTGAGATGAAGATTCGAGCATGTTCTGCGACCCACAAAGATACCACATACTTAGAGATATACTTGCTTTGCCCATTTGTATTATTGGACAACCCATCTTGATGTGGCTAATAAATGAGTCGCTGTTGTCTTCTGATGGAATGCTCTGCTTTTAACCATTCGTTGCCATGCATACATACATAATATCGTTGCTATGGTGAAAGCATTTATCTTTCATCGCTCAAGAATGATCTCTACTACCTATAGTGGATTAGCAGTACATCTCAAGCGGTGGGGCGTGGTACATTTGCATAAAGCTGGACAATTTCAAGCCTCTTTTCTTTGAGCAAGTGTTGTCAAGCTGCTAAGGTAGAGAGTGGGGCGTTATCCAGCACGCTGAGCCATTCAAGTGATTGCATCCGATTGGTCAAAGTTGCTAGCACAAACTAAATAAGAAGATCATCACGCAATCAAGCGTTGTCAGAGAGTCATGTTTCAAGCATGATGCTGTATGCGTAATTCTAAAAGGAAGTGAGAGGGTTTGTCAGGTCATGTACCTTAGTGCCAATAGCCATATTTAGTAAATGTTTTGAATCACATCAAATCGGTCAAAGCGGCTCCTTCTTTTGTGCCTATGGTCATGTAGATCTTTTTTCAAACTCTTTTCCACATGGGAATCACAACTTCCAAAGCAACCATCGACATCGAACAACAACCAACGGCAATTAACAACAAAAAGCCGAAAAAGAAAACCAAGCCATGCGCACGGGCTACATCCAGAAATGAGGAATTGGACTCAGCTAACAAGAATGCAAAGTTGCCACTTTCGCCTTGGCTGCATCAGCGATTACGGAAGATATCCAATGTAGCAACTGCTGAGCAGCAATGCCATAACAAACCACAGCATTCGAGATCGTGTGGAAGGAAAAAACATAATGTAGCCAGTATTTCACGAAAGAAAAATGCAAAGCGCAAAAAGGTTACCAAAAGCATTATTGGTAAACCTTCCAATTTTCAGGTGAGAGAACCCAGGTGAGCGTGAGATAGCAATCGCCATATATATTAAGATGTTCAAAATGCAGCATGTTGGATACAGTGCCAAAAATCCACCTTATCAGCGATCATTCCATGTAAGTATATCAAGCCGTATGCGAGATAGAGTTGTTATTTTAATGCAATTTGCAAATAGATGAATGATCCGATCATTTCGTCACAACTACTTGACATTGCACAACGTCTCGATGCAACTGCGGCTGATACTACTCAACCATTATCATTGTCACCTTCGCGTAACAAAATCCGATCTAGCCGCCGTAACGATCCACCACCGTTACCTCCTCCCCATTGGAGTAGTTTGGCATTACGCCGAGCCAAGCTTATGAAAGCATCAAATGTTAACAAACAGGTTCTCAAAGATGTGTCATATCCCTTAGCAACAGAGCAACAACATGCTGGTCGAAGATCTACTAAACGTCGACAACAACATGTCAAAGGAAAAAGACACTACCACAACAATAAGCGTATTCCACCTGAAGCGTTTGAAATGCCACCATCGCTTAAACTAGGACCAGCTCGTTGAATGATACTTTGTAAATGGACCCATCTATATTCTTAACTTCTAATTTGTATGCTACAACAACATTTCATACAACAATGGGATAATGCAGTACTACCATCCAGTAATATTTTTATGTCTGTTTTCTAAAAATCTAAACAATGAACCTGGTGTTTTGGACCACTGGTTATGCCAATGATAAGCAAACGTCTGTAAAAGCTTTTCTTCATCGAATTCCACCTCATCGAAAGCGCCTGGCATCGAGTTACTTGGAGTGCATACCATAGAATCGGTGAAGCACCAGGGAATGACCGACCATGGTCGTATACCATGATAGAGCAGTCGACGATATACGCGATAATACATGTAACCTCCCCAATCAATTGTGCCTGGTCGTGGTAAGGGTCCATTGGCCATCTCAGCAAGCATTTCACACAAGTACGGAGACTCCTTGGCAAAGTGCATAAACGCGCCATTAAAGGGGAACTGACCTGGCTGGAAGCAATCCCATTGTGATAACCATTCGTATTCAAATAGCGGGGACATGTCACGAATCAACAATGCATCCATATCAAACCACATGCCACCATAGCGATAGATGACCATTAAGCGGATCAAGTCACCATCCAAATAGCCTAATCCATCCTTGAAGTCCAGATGAGAAGAATTCTCCATGGGTGTGCCTTTAGAGAGCTCCTTTGGATCATAGATCAACGTTTGAAGCCGTTCCCCAACATGTTTTTTGACGTCTTGAATAATAGGAGAGGTTGACAAGTCGCCATTTGACCACAAGTACAAAACAGCGGTGTCTGGATTCTGTGTAGCAAAGAATGATCGGATCACTGCAAGTTGCTTTGGACCGACGGGTGACAGATCAGCTCGCCAATAAGCATGATAAATGGTCCTCTTGTTGTTGCTGCTGCTCGTGTTGTTGGTGGGTTGGATGGTGGCAGCAAAATCATAACAGTCGAAGCCATCAAGAAGAGCGACACCAGGGGTGATATCATAGGTATATTCACTGACGCCAGTATGATACAAGCTGTCCTCCGGTAAGCGATTGAAACAGCCGTTAAGTGGTTTCTTGTATGCTTCATCTGCATGCGAGATCCAGTTGCGAATGTAGACTCGAATGTTCAATTGGAGATTGAATAGAGCGAAAAAGGCCAACACAACAACGGGAGCCAAAAGAACGATCCACTTTAGCACCACAGATGGCCGCCAGCATTTATGTCTCACATAGGCTGTCGTATTGCCATTGAGCCTTGTATAAGGTAGAGATTGTCGTATTCGGAATAAGTCACCGATTCGCTGCATGGAGTGTGGAAGAAAAAAACGCTGGCTGGAAAGTCGTTTTGTCGAGAAGAGTTACACTGCCGATCCTTAGACTGAGCGTAAGCAAGCCAATGACATTCAAGGCCGAACAAACCGAATTATCTAACTTTTGGTGTTGTTGAGTCCTGTACTATGATCGATGGATGTACTTGCTAGTATGCATCATTGTTACTTGAAAAGTGTACCTTAGACAATCATCCCAATTGTAATAAAGATACAACAATGGCATTTTATCACCCACTTTACTGCTTGAGGATGCTCCACGTGAGAAGAGTGTATCGGACTTCAGGTACATATACATCAAGGTACAGAATGTGGAAAAGAGGGTCGGCATAAAGAAGGCCGGTGCATCCTATCATGCATACCACACCCTCCCAATACCATTTATCATTGCCACGGAGCTGTCATGTTTTACCACCATCATCCGCCATTGATGCCTTGAGCACGGTTGCTATGGCTACCTACCTCTGCATTTACAAAGATAATACCTTCTTTTATGGCATCTACCTCAAGTTACATATTTTCTCGTAATGCGACATATCGCTGTATCAGCAGAGAGCGTCATGGGTATACCAAAACGGCTTCTACATGGCTAGAGCAATTAATGTTGGGCGTTGCATGTCATTGCTATGTTGTATATAACGACACCAACACCGTGAACCCTCCGTTTCTTATATATAAGGATGAGACCTCGGCTCTTTGCTAGTATAGTTTTTGAGTCCTTAAGATTATGGTGCTTTTCAGCTTATCTAATATCATAACTTCCCCTGATTGTACTGACTAATGCAAAAGGTGTCAATAAGCAAATGGCTGCAAGTAATCACCAATGAGATTGTCAAGTCCTACCTGTAGACAAATGAAAGCCCGACCTTTTCTTTTAGTCAGCGCTAAGAATCCGTGTGCAAAAGCTTCTTTTCTTCCGCATTATGACCATCAAGGCAGTGATTTTTGATATCGGTAGGCAAGATCATGGATCAAAAGAATGATGTCGCAATACTTACAGGTATTTGTATCAGGCGGTGTTTGTGTAGGCTCACCTATTGCTGGAATTCACCGCTACGAAAAATTACACGGTTTGCCGTTTAACTACATCAATGTGGCCATGTAAGACGGCAGAGCTTTGATGGTGTCACAAAACTAACAACGACATACAACAGCGTCAATCAGGGTGATCATGGCGCTTTCCAAGTATGTATTTGATGCCTTTTATTTGGAAGGATACGTTGAGGAAAGCTTACATTATTCTCATTTTCGGTGTAGAAACTGGAACGAAGCGAAATCAAGCTGGTGGACTTTTATAAAGCTTTTGGCGACGAGCTTTCAGACCCAAAGAATAAATTGGCCTACCGAAAATACCTGGAGAAATCAGGCAAAAGTTAGTAGAAATCAAAGTGCCTTGGACATGTCACTGATCCATTTGTTGATAGCTGCTCCCAAAGATATACCCGATATCGCTGTCGATGGCAAAGAGCTTTGGGATATGATGATGAATGAGACTGAAAGAGTTGATCCAATCGTGATGAATGCCATCCATCGGCTGAAAGGTATTACAGGCCCTGGATATTATCTTTCAGCATTGAATCTAATACAAAAGACGATAGACAGCGGGCGATTCATCACGGCCGCCTTGACCAATAACTCTGAAACGGCTCAGGACCAGAATAAAACCTCTGATTCGTTACGTAAAGTATTCGATCATTTCATTGAATCCAAAGTAGTCGGTTTAAGGTAAGATCCTTTCGGTGCTGGTTTTTCAGGTATACCAATTGCAATTGTGTTTTAGAAAACCAGATCCAAAATTCTATATGCATGCATGCAAGACCATTGGTGTAGAGCCACACGAAACGGTATTCTTGGATGACATTGGCATGAATTTGCGTGCAGCCAAGAAATTAGGAATGAAGACGATCCGTAAGCAGCGTTCACATTGGGCTACATCAATGATCCAATTCTCATATGTTTATGTATCATAGATGTTAAATTGGGGCGGTCCGAGGAAGCTATCAAAACGCTAGCAACATTGGTTAACTTAGATTTGCATGGTAGTTCTAATAGCAAACTATAAAAGTGAATAGATGGGGGCTATCTAAGTCATGCTACGTCCATTTTGTCCATCACTGTTGGTAACCCAATCTAATCCATAACGGCTACTGGGAGCCTGGTAGGTCTTCAATGCCCGCAAGATATCGTCTATCGTATCGCATGTCACAAAGATGTTTGCATTGTTGGGTCGAATGAATTGTTCTATATACATGATCTGCTGATAAGTTATACGTGCCATGAATGATTGTTTCAACGCACCTCGCACAGCGACATTAACCCATTCAACAAGAGGGGTAAAGAATCCTCGGGTGTTCAATACCAGAATGGGCTTGGAATGGATGTTGAGCTGTGACCAAGTAATCATTTCCAGCATCTCCTCTAGATTAAAGTAGCTCTGATTAAGTCGCAAAGGAGACATTGATTTTCTTCTTTTGCTTACCTGCGGTGCCGTAACCACCGGGAAGGACGACAAAAGCATCACACTGTGGTCCAGTAATAGGTTAAAATTCAATCACAGCAATGGTTATCGCACATTCATTCATATCCTACATGATCACCCATAGTTTTCTTGCGTGTATGCATATCAGGCACAATGATTGTCTCGCATATTTGCTTGCTGCCATTTCGGTAGAGAGGCTCGGGAACGATACCCTTGGCTTTTCCACCATTATCAATCACTGCCTTGGCAACAGCACCCATAAGACCCACCGAGCCGCCACCTTAAAAAAAGCACGTGTTAACATCCATCTTCGTGGTGATCAAGCTCCTATTACCATAAACGAGCGAGTAGCCATTATCTGCTAATGCCTTGCCGAGAGCTGCTCACTTGATGAGAGAGACGTTGAAGATAGCATAGAGGATAGGTTGGGTTATCCTACCTGTCGCTTGTTCCCTATACTCTGGATTGCCGCCATCGCCTGAACCGCAAAATACACAGACGCTCGTAATGGATTTCGAAGCGGGTGCTGGACAAGTCAATGAAGGCAAGGTACTGGTCATTTGTAAAATAGATACAAGATAGAGGTCAACGTTGCCGGTTTTGCTAGGTGCGAGAGAATATGGTATGTACGATTCAAAGTCAGTGTTTCTTGGTTCATGAGTCATCAATGCTGGATGCTAGCACGTTACATAGGCGGTATGTGCAAGGATTGCAATGGCACTATTTGTGGCTTCTTTATCATAGTCTACGAGCTGCTCATCAATGATAATGCTAAAGGAAAAGCACAAGTCGCAAGCATAGGCGGGTTGATTTACCAGCTGCTGACGCCGGATCGCCTTTGACCTACTAGTATTCTAAGATGCTTTGCACTTTATCAGTTCGACGCATCACGGCTTCCTATTGAAGGCAATTCCCACGCATAATCGATGCACATAAAAGTAAGGCTGTTGTCATCCACACCATTATCACGCATCTCTTTTTCGTCTAGTTAGTTGCATATATCATCAGGAGCCCCATCGTTTGGTACGTGTCAATGATAGCCTTTTGATGTGCCATATTAGGATGCTCATCTAGCATTGCTTTAATAGGACATACCCATGCCACCTTCAAAAATCACCTCTCAAGATGCGGGCGGATTTATCAATGGTTGACTTTCCATCACGTCCAAGATGCTTGACCACTTTATCAGTTTGATCAATCATGACAACAAATCCCACGTCCACTCATATATAAACAGGCTCTTTGCATCAACACTATCATACGCCCTTTCTTTCTACTTGTATTCGTACCATCATCAATAGCCTCAGGTAAGTCTCAAGGTTAGTCTTTATTGCGTGATTCCCAAAATGAGGGCACTCATGCATTCATCTTTTCGTTTTCGTCTATGTAGCTCACATCATTGCTTTACCACTTGGCGTGCAAAGAGGTGATTGATATGCCTACAATCTCTTCAGTTCCATAATTGCCATCTGTACGCGCCATTGCTATCCCAGCCCCATCGATAAGAATCATGACGCAGCGGTCATAAGTGCCGTGAATGACACCGACAACACACAGAGAGGGCGCTGGAACTGGTCGATCCGTTTGGGTTAGAGCCCATCACACTTGTGGATAAAGAAGGCCGCGAGGCCAACCTGTTGGCTCACCCTGACATTATCAATACAATCATCAATCAACAAAAACGTGGGGGCAGGGTGCAATCCACCCAACACCTAAATAGCCTGGTCGCTGAGGCCTGAATGAACCACGTGAGTTGTTCCCCGAACGTTGTCCAAAAAAATAGAACCCTTCCAAAGCTATCACTGTATCATAAATAAAGATGCTTCTTTTATGTTGGACTAAAGAGTCATACGGGCATGTATGGGAAACTGTTGTGGACACAACTATAAGAAGGCGAATGGCATTGTTTCCTTCGATGACTTTTTATCCATGAGTTTAAAAGTGTCGTACTTGCCGCCTTTTGTAACTACCTTAGCCATCATGCAAATGTCCATGGGTAATGTACCTCAAATCATTTTGGTGATGAGAGAATGAATACAACCCTCACAATTATGAGCTAGCGATGATAATGCCATTGTTTTAACACCAGACTCAGAGGATCAATTCTTTATTCTTTCATGCTTCGTCCTATTTACACCCAACGTGCAGTCCAAGTTCTGGTGAGTGTTACCCCCGATTCCAAATCGACCTATGTGATCTTAATACGTTTCATAGTTGCTTGGACCGTCATTGAGCGGCAAACGTACCTTGGCTTCCGAATTACTCAAATGCCCAAGTGCTTACTTTTCCATGTAATATAAACTAGCTTGATCGTGACCCTCATGTCACTGACACGTTGCTTCTAGCTCCACGGCCGAAAACCTTTCCAAAAATCCAATGGATGTGATTGATCGAATTGATTATATACTCTTCATGCTGGATATGACCAACAGGAATAGTCTTACTATCTTTCATGAAGCACTCAAGCAGATCCCAGCAGCATACCTTTACAATAAATGTGGCATCGTTTTTACTAGAGGTAAGAAATATGATTACGGTCATGGATAATAGTTGAATGCTTACTATCTATTTATGTGTGTGTATGTATAGTGGATGCTGTCAAATTTTGGACCATCAGCGAGAAGGATGTTACGCAATTGACCGACAAGTATACCGTAGGCTTGCCTCGATTTCGAGTAAACCTGGAGGTAATTTATTGTGGATGTACATTATTGAGAGCTACCTGTGGATTAATGGATAACAATATAGGATGAGAATCAACGTAGTCGAATATGTGACCAAATTGCACGTGCGATCAAAATTGCTGCTTTACAACAAAAGAACGTATCAGGACTCTTATTGAGATCATTGGAGCATTATCATCCCATCACCACAAAAGTTATACCCACTCCAGCTGAACATCAAGCATCTGGATCCTTGGCATCCCAGGCCCCAATGTCTGAAGCAGTAAATAGTATTGCTGATGAAAATGCGAATGCACAGGAACCATCCGTACAAGGAGACCGGATATCTGAAGGTGTACCGGTTGCTGAGCCTTCTGTGGATATAGATATCATGTCAGAGACTGGATAATAAAGCATTATAATCAATAAAGGGGTGTTGGGTGCTTGTTCATAGCAACGTCGCCATGGCAACTGGATGATGATCATTACTAAAATGCGATTGTACGGACATGTGGTATATACCAAGCATTTTTAGAGAGGAACGTATGCATAAGAAGGGCTGTGGCCGATACAAGCATCAAACAAGTAATGGTGGCAGTAGAGATAATTTATCACAGCAAGGCCGGTTGCCGCTCTTCCTCTTCTTCTTTCTTTCTCTCCTTGCCCTTCCAATACCCACACCCACACCCACACGATGACATACCATTCACCTGAAAAGAAGCACTATGATAATTCGCTGGTACCTCCCAACAGTTTTTACAGCACCGATGATAGCGACATGTTTGCAAGAAGGGCAATGTCAGTAATGTCGTCTTCCAGCTTTCAATACACTGCCGACGACAATCAGTCGATCAGATCAGCAACGCTACCTCCCGACAACGGTGTTCACTTATCAAAACAAGATCTCGCTGCTTCACTCGACTCGTATGAAAACTTATTGAAAGCAGCACAAGTGTATCGAGAGCAAATGCAACAATTATCAGGGGCAGCAGCAGGATTTGGTTATGCACTTGAACGTGTGGCCAAAGGCAAGGCGGTCGCAGAAGCTGGTCAAGGCCTTCAAGCAGCAGCAGGTCTTCAATTTCTGATATCGAATCATCAACAGATATTTGTAAGTACGGTTCAATGTTGTATTCTATAGCTACTAAGCAACCTATTCATGTAGGGGGACATGTTCCAAAAGACACTCGAAGAACCATTACGAGAGAGCATTGATCATCATCGCAAGATTGTACAGGTACGCAAGAGCAAATGGAACATTCATTGTGTGCAATGACCAATCCGCTTTCATAGCAAAGTCAGGAGAATTATAATGCAGCATTGAAGATAATAAGCAAGAGAATTCGGGATACAGAATCAAGGAACATGAAGAATGGTCGCAAGGGACAACGAGGTAGGTAGTAACATTGATCTCAATATGAATGAAGCTAACATAGCCAAAAAGACATTAAGCAATTCCGCAAGGCACTAGAAGAGTTAACACACCAAGTGGATGAATTGGACCGTATCAAAACAGAATATCACAGGCATATGGTGGATGTGGAGCGTAGACAAAACTACATGACACTATCAAAGGTGGCTTCAGTGGTTCGTGCAGAGGTGGATATTCATGAACGTATTGCAAACAAAGGATTGGGGGATCCAATGCTGGAACAGGTAATTGTTTTTGCTCTTTGTCATGGAAAAAAGATGGCCTTTACTTAGAGTCGGAGGTAGATGATGCAACAAAATCCGGATCCTTTCTGTGCATATTCAACATTGACGGATGAACCAACAGAAATATTTACTGTGTTACCACCAGTGTCACTTATTGACCATCCTCAAACACCTGTGCTTGATCCAGAAGATTATGGCATGCCAGATACCTTATTGAATACAAGCCGCAGTGAAAGTTCCCTTTGTACTATGCCACAACGTGTACAGGAATTGTGGAAGGAGGAGGCACACAAAGACACACATTCTCTCAGCGACGACGAATCTTCCTCTGGAGGCCATGTGACCAAAGAAACCTCTGTTGGTGGGAATCGACATATCGCACATCACTTGAATGAAGAAGGCTGAAATTGTAGCAACCATACCCAATACATGCATTGATCGTTTCTTTATCGATACGCATTCTTATTATTATCAATTGCGAACCAGTCCCATAAAAACCTTTTATTCTGTTTTCTTTTTTGGCTCTTTTCGTTTCAATCCTTTTAATACTGCCATGACTAAAGGTACAGATATCGGCACAAAAAGCGGCATATAAATTGCGTACTTGTGTTCATCAGGGAAATACAACATGGACACCATAGTAGGATTGAAAAATGCTTCTTCAGCTAGTTTGGTAGCGCGTATTGAATGCTTGAGAGCCGATTCATAGTCTGCATTCCTTAGGGCTTCACGTCCAAGTTCCAGATCACGTAAAGAATGTCGTACTTGCGTATTGATTTCCTCCAGAACAACCATGTTTGGAATCTCTGTCACGAGTTGAGCAAGCGAATTCAATGTCTTGGCTGCATTAGCAATGTTTTCCACTGTGCACCGCCGAATAAGGTTGTCCTTCTCCAATAGAGTAATCCCAGTGTGCGGTGATGTTGAATATGTAATGCTTGTGTCGGATGTCTAAGCTTCTTAGCTTCATGATACTATACAAACACAACCAACAAGATCCTACCTCTACAGAGTCATGCTCATGTATTCCGATAAGGCTGCGTAGCTGCGATACAAAGATACGCATGGTAGAGTGTAGCTTTTGCTTGTCCAATCTGTAATGTCCATCTGGAGCTTTTGGCAGGTTTTTGATTAGCACACCTCCCCACCGAGGAATCAAAAAGGCGTTATCAGGTAAAGGCCGATCTATAAGAAAAGTAAATACAAGGAACAAAAAAACAATGCATGTATTGGAGCTTACTGTGAACATCGTGAATCCAAAGGCGTTGTGTGGGAGATGGTATATAAAGGATGAAGTTTACAGTTGGATAGGATGAAATGGTGGATGCTGTATGTGCGCTGGTGAGTTGAGCTCTGTGAACACCCCCCCCCAATTGAGCACCTTACCAAGGTTCCAATCGGCTGAATTAATAAAGTGTGAAAGCTGCCCCTGTTCATAATAATAATAGCTTGGCTTCCCTGGTCGCTCCCGTTCAAAGGGTGGTATCGATAATGACGCATAATTTTGGATCTGGGAATCCACCGTAAAGTTGGACACCATGGAAATCTCTTTTAGCAATGGATGCATGTAACCTACAAAGAGAATAGACGATAAGGCTTCCTGTTTCTTCCCAAGCATTCACGCGTTCAATTTACTTTTCACTGCCTCACGGATATCCCAATCGACCAATAAATGCTCCGGATCATTGTTCATAAGGCTAAAGGTAATCTGATATCTTGGAGAATACTTGAATGAACGCATGCTGCTCATGTCATTCTGCAAGGGGGGGATAACGATCAGAACATTGAGTTCGCGTGAAAGGACCTTTGGTATATGTATATACCTTGTTATCATTATCTCTTGTGCCACATGCCATTTGATCTAGATGCTTGTATTCTTCGACAAATGCTGAATCAAAGAGTTTCATGACAGCCTCGGCAATGCTTTCTAGCATCGATAACCATTATGAGCTATGGATGATGTTGCCAATGTTTATATATGTACCTTGTGACATGTCTGCTACTTGTACATGGCTTGTGCGTGTATTGCCCACTGTGATGTTGCAAGGTACGGCTGAGGATGATGATGGCGATGAAGATGCATAAATGTGATAATGGCCAAAGGACATGTCGTTGTGCCTCGTCAGTAATTCCTCTACATTATCATCTAGGATTCGGTATGAGCAGTGTGTGTATTCAATAGGCTCGATCCTGTCAGCTACCTTTTTCCTGTGTCCAATATTGCCACTTGACCTGCACAGGGAATATTGCACATGATGCTATTATTTGTGTCTTCTCCGATAGCCGATCTTGTAAAGAACGAGTGACATCGATGGCTGAATGGACAATGAACGTAATGGGAAGTTCAAGGCGAGGTGACTATATGAACTTGTTTGTATATGCGAGGCGTTTGGACGTGAAGAGAAAAACTTACTTGGTCTTCTTGCCAAGCTTTTATTTCGTTTAGAGGAAGGTTTGCTCTATAGACTTCTGTAGTTTTCCACCAAAATGGTAGACCGACAAGGATGAAGGCCCAAAAAGCGACGATCACCATACGCGTGCTCATGAGCAAAAAAGAGAAGCAGGTTCCAAAGGGGTCGCCTAATGCTGAGTACCACGTATGCACTACACCGACAACCAATGAATTTGCCTTTCTTACTTGGCCTGTGTTTATTTGTATCAGCAACTTTGATTTTCATGCATGAAATAGAGATATAGCTTTGACACATTTATCCTAAACCATCATAAAGAGCAATAGCAACCATTATTCAGTCGCACACAATAAACAGTAGTAGAGCAACATTCTTCATGCCCCGGCTATTGCAGCGTTCTTATGGCTGATCAAGCAAGCCTGGCAATATGCCAAACAATAAATGATTAGGCAAATGTGCTATCACTAATAGCTTTCTGAACAAGAGCGAGATGGAGATGATTCAATGATACGAGTCCTCAGAGCTTCTATCCTTCTGATTTCGGCAAAAATTCACGCATGATCTTGAGCATTCCGGGGTTACTGGGTCAATACTCAATAGTAGTCTATGCATGTCATTCATTACCAACAACGCCTATTTTGATCCTTGTACAAGCTGGGAAAGGATGTGATGGGATTGAGCTGTACACTTTATTAGGAAACGATGTCAGAGTTTCTAAGAGGATGCCATAATGCATGACTTTCAATGACCTTCATTCCTCAGCAAAGGGCCTGGAGATGTGTGGATGAAGCTAATATTGCTGCTTCAAACTCCAGCACCATGCTTACTACAAATAATGATATTACATTGCTCATCGCTTCTCATCAGAGACGTGATTATCTTAATGATGAAAAATGATTACGGGTATTTGTCGTGAGCCTAGATATCCCCTAAATGATAGATACGGTATCTTGGTGATACTACAGCCATGGAGACTCCTCCAAGTGAACAACCCTACTACCTGCACAGTAGTCGTAGAAGTTTGATCATCCACCAAAACAGTGTCATTCAAGCTTATATAGCTCTCTTACAGCCACTATATTCGATGGCATCATACGTTTACACAAGGCAGATCTTATGTTGGAACAACTCTTGTAATGAATAGGTGGATAGATACCCTGACAAAAATGGAATGCATCAAAGCATGATCCCACAAGGATGAAACCCATTGAAATCTCCGACTTGCATATGAGGGTTCCTGGTATTGCTTATGCTAACAACGCCTTTCAAAACCAACATTAAACTTTGTCGACCATTACTGCAAGCATAGAGTGTCTTTATTAGGTGAAGGCATCAAGTATAGAAGTTATGCTATGCACGTGGTCTGTCACTTGAGGTAGAAAGATATAAATCACCTTTTGAACTGAAGACAAAAAATGAAAGATGCCAGCCTATAATTTACCAAGACATACCCAGTGTTTGAACCTATCTTTGACATGGAGGATATTAAGGACCGACCAAAGGGAGGAGGAGATGTAATGACCTGAAGAGGGAGATAAAGCACCATTCTAGGGTTGCACGGGGTTGTTCATACGGCAATTTCATTCGTACACACTACTTGAAAGAAAAGAGAATGATATGACCTGAAGATTGTTTTTTAAGGAGCTGCTGGCATTCCAGAGTTCGTGCACATACCATTAGAGATAGAGTGTGCTTCTCCTTTTCCTTTATTCATCTTTCTCTTTTTCTCGTTTTCCCTTTCAATATTTTGAGCACGCTTGGGTGTTTTATAATACCATCCATGATGCTCGCAACAAGTACAAGAAGAAATGAGTCGGACCTGTCAGCATGGCCCAGCAGCTACTATGGACGTACACGACGTATTGATTTGGCCAAACTTTACAGCGAGACACTAAGGCTAGCACGAGTCGATCAACAACAACAGCAGCAGCAGCAACAGCAGCAACAAAAACCATTACCACCCCATCCACCAACAAGAAAGATGATACACAATAATCATGGTGCTAGAAGTAGTACCAAGACTCGACGAAAAGTCAGCTTTACCACTGAACCACCCAAAGTCCATGAATACGAGCCTGAAGAGAATAATGAAATAGAACAGCAACAATCCTTGTTATTGCCTGGCAAAGGATTTATGCAGAGTTGCCGACGTTTTGATCACGAGGGTCATCTTCGTTTGCAAACAGTAGATTTGCGACCGATTCCTAACCGTGGATGGTGTCCTGCGTTGTCGCTGGTCGACGAGCAACAACATGATAAGCATGGTGTTAACAAGATGGAGAGAGTAACAAGGCCATCATGATCATCCTTCTCCTGGGGTCGGGTTTTTCTGCATAGAGTTGTAGCATCTCCAATAGCTGATTTGGGCATAAAAGATTCCATTTTTGGATGCAACATAAACATGGTGCCCACCACAGCAAAGATACATGTTGCGTATTTTTCTCACTCTTTTCCTTTTTCTTTATTCCTTCTTTGTTTCGTAATGGCTTCACCACGCCTTTTGAATCGCGTGTCTCGCTTTTTCAGCATCTCACGACAACCCAGTGAAATGCAAGACGAGATGGACGGAGATTCCATGTTTTCTTACCCGTCGTCTGTTCGAGATAGCCCAAGTTCACCGCCACCGTTACGTACAGTACGCCTAGATGTATCACCTGAGACCAACAAAGAACAAGTGGATGCAGCATTTGACCAATTGATGGTGAGGATACAATGATGGAAATTGGGGGGAGGGGAGGGTGGCATTTCATTGTGTTGCTAGGTAATAACACCTATCTGGATAAAGCAAGAGATCGCATTAGCATCCAATGTGCGTCCCACATTGACACAGTTGACAACTGAACAAAAGAGCGCCATGCTACAGTCTTCATTGTCATTGCGAGGGGGTAAAAGCAGTAGCAGCAACATATTGTTTGGACGTTTCGATACCCATCATCATACCCATGGTGGAGGACAAGCACCCAATAAGACACCGGAACAAATGATCCGACAACTTCAGGGCCGAAAAGTGCAGCGCATAGATGAAGGAGAGCTTATGAGTCTGCGTATCTTTTTACGTAATGGAGCAGCAAGTTGGACAACAGAATTTCTTGACAAGGGCGGCTATGCGTTATTAACAGACTTGCTACGACAACTTAAGGAAGCACCAAAGCGAACAAGTCATGACGACAAGCAGCTACAGCACTTGTGCAAGTGCTTCAAGACAATCATGACCCATGAGCCAAAGGGCACTGCCCAAGTGTTGACCCATACTGAGCCTCTCGAGCATGTCCGTGATCTTTTATTTGGGCCCTCTGATCCCAAGCGTAAAGCGCTCTACAACTTACAGCTAGCTACTCGTCAACAACTACTCGCCCTATTATGTACCTTGCCAACAATCCAAACAGCACAACCACATTATGTCCATGGCTATGATGCGCTTCGACAACTTTTGATTGATCGCCCACACGATATAGTCGAATCATCAGACTCCAAAGAACCTTTCCGCATGCGTCTCAAAGCAGATCCAGAAACGGTCATGCGTACCATAGCTCCAGGTGTATCACGTCCACGTTACACAGCCTGGATGCGAGAGTTGCAGCTTACAGTTGATCGGCACATTGAACCAATGACCTATCTGGCTCAGGTTCTCGATTACAATTTTGAAAGTGCGTTTAGGCAATTGAAGACACGCTCTGGAAATCCATATGAGCAACATCAGCAATTAGACCAACAGCAACAGCCAACAGTGATGGTGGATGAAGGCGTGGTGGACTATGTGGTAAGGATTGAGCGATAACTAGCTGCTTGGTACAAATGTCTCATACCCATCCGATTCATGATTAGATTTCCCACTTGCGATTGATATGCACCCTAGTGACAACACCAGCTACATGTTTCCGGGGTACATACGACAAGTATGAGCAAGAAAAGATGAGACTTGAGATCATGGTTTCAGGATTCGACAAGGTAGCGAAATGTCTTTACAGATGTCCACATCCCACTCTATACGCTTCCTATATCAGATACCTCCAACCACTTCTCGAGCCATGGGCCGATATCACCCCTCGCCATTCCCATAATCAAAATTCACCACATACCCCCAACGACGATGATGATAATGATGATGACGATGATCAATGGACCGATGAAGATGATATAGTGCACGAGAACAGTAATAATAGTAATCCCATGTTATGAAACAATAAATAAAACAAACGTGTATATTTACATGGCAGAGTAACCACCGTCAACCAAGAGATCAGTACCTGTGACATAACTGCTTGCATCACTAGCAAGAAAGACTAAAGCGCCTTTGAGTTCGCGAGGGAATCCCATCCGCTTCATGGGGGCAAGCTCAGTCCATGCTCCAGCAAGATCAGGTTTTGCGTCAATCAATTGTTCAATCATATCCGTTCTCATATAACCAGGGCAAAGTGCATTGACTCGAATACCACGTTGTGCCCATTCATAAGCAAGACATTTGGCCATCATGGATACAGCTGCCTTGGTACAATTGTACTATGTAACACATAATGTCATGTCAACCTCCTCCTTTTACCAAAATATGCGTGTCATTTGACTTACCCCACATTGAGGCTGTGGTTGGTTCACCAAATGAGCTGAAACGGATGAAACGATAATGATGCTTCCGCTTTGTTGTTCGAGCATGTACTTGCCAGCTGCTTGAATACCGTAAAAGACGCCGTGGACATTCACGTCAAATAGTTTGTGCCAATCATTCAAATCAAAGGTTTCTGCAGCACCATTGATGGAAATACCAGCATTGGCAACAAAAACATCAATTCGACCAAAATCCTTGTGGATGGTATCAATGGCGGATTGTACTGCTGCAGCATCTCGAACGTCCGCTTTGTATGCCTTGCATGTAACACCATACTCCTTTGCAATCTCAGCAGCCGTATCGTGGGTCGAGTCGCTGGATACGTACATGAGTGCCACGTCTGCACCTGATTGTGCAAGTGCACGGCAAAGCTCAAGTCCAATACCTCTGGGATCATAACACGTGATAAGTCTTCCTTGTCGAATTGGTGTCTTTATTTCCTACCGAGCACCACCAGTAACGATCGCCTTTTTACCCTTGAGTGAGAATTCTGGAAGTACGGAAGTCATTGTATATACAAGGTAGAAGGAAGGTGAAAGAGAGAAAGAAAGAGCTTGTTATCCTCACGCACACAACCTTCTTCTTTATAGGATGGAGCGGCGGAAGCCCTTTGTTCCCATATGGAAATCTTTCCGGAAGTACTGCGAAATTCTCCGTAGTCAGCGGAATCTAAACATAAAACACACTACGACTATGACATCTCGAACCTGGGGACGAGTTACATCCTTCCTAACTTTGAAAGGGCGATCCTCATACATATAGATAAAGAGTCAACTGCACCCATCATTGATGTCGTTTGATAGCATTCGAGGGAATAGTGTTATAAGCTGCAAAGGTCAGAATGCGTATTCGCATCATATCTCAAAGGTGCAATCATATACTATGGGGTGGAGCTAAAGACTTGGTGCAGCTAGTATAATAGTCACCTGTCAAAAAGGTGCTATTGTGATTGAATGGAAAGACACTTAATTTACATGATGGATTATCACTCATGGGGGTAACAACCCAACGGTCTTGGATCGTGATCCAATCATTCTCGCTGCTTATCGAACACGCATACCAGTATTAGGAGCAGGTTGACAACATGGTAAGTCACCTTTATAATAATGGGGATGTGCATTAG